AAGCAGTGCCTCCAACTCCCAATCCCGCAAGCCTATCTAGAAGGATACCATGGTCGATGGTATCGAAAGCCGCTGAAAGGTCCAGAAGAACTAACAGGGACCCACTCCCCCTGTCTCTCTCCCTGCACGGGTCATCATACAGGGTGACCAAGGCAGATTCAGTACCATACCCGAGTCTGAAGCTGGACTGAAATGGGTCCAGATAATCAGTTTCATCCAAGAGTGCTTGGATTTGTCCCACCACCACCCGCTCTAACACCTTGCCCAGAAACGGGATGACTGGCCGGACTACCGCCTCCTTTAAAGGGGCAGGTACCTGGCCGTCCCTCAGAGAGGTGCTGACAACCTCCAGGATCCAGGTCCCAATCCCGTCCTTGGCTGTCTTGAGAAGCCAAGATGGGCAAGGGTCCAGTAAGCAGGTGGTAGGGCGTACCTGTCCAAGCACCTTGTCCACATCATCAGGCCGCAACAACTGAAACTCATCCATCAATTGTGGACCAGATGGCAACATTGGCACCTCCCCAGTAGAATCTGATTCAGTAGTAGAGTCCAGCTTGTGACGAATCTGAGCGATTTTCTCCCGGAAATGCTTGGCGAAGTCGTCACAGCAGGCCTTCGAGGGTGGCACAAGGTCTTTCTTTGGGTCCAGATGTACCAGCCCCTGTACCACCCGAAATAGCTCCGCCGGACGGCATTGTGAGGAGGTAATGGAAGTAGAGAAGAATTTCTTTTTCGCTGCCCTCACCGCCACAGCATAGGCCCGATAATGGGCTCTCAAGTGTGTTCGGTCAGATTCATCCCGTGATTTCCTCCACCTACGCTCTAGATGTCTCACAACCCGCTTCATCGCCCGTAATTCCAGTGTATACCAAGGGGATGAATAGGCTCTGCCAGGTGGGAGAGGACGCTTGGGAGCGATCATGTCAATAGCCCTGGTCATTTCCCCATTCCATAGTTCGACCAGAGCTTCAACAGGAGCACCAGCCTTATCAACCGGGAAATCCCCCAGGGCCTTCAGGAATCCATCCGGATCCATCCGGCTCCGGGGGTGGACCAGCACAATAGGGTCTGCACCCTTACAGAGGGAAAGGCCAATCTCGAGCTCAAACCTCACAAGGAAGTGATCTGACCATGACAGGGGAGTCAGACACAGGTTCCTCACCCTCAGGTCACCCTCCTCCTGTCCTGTCGAGAAAAACAGGTCTAGAGTGTGTCCACATTCATGGGTCGGGCCAGTGACGTGCTGAGACAGCCCCATGGAGGCCATGAAGTCCTGAGCCGCCCCGGTCAGAACCATCTCGGCATGGAATTGAAGTCCCCCAGGACCAACATCCCGGGAGTCTTCAACACCAAATCCGAGACGATCTCCATCAGCTCAGGCAGGGAGTCTGTTGGGCAGAAGGGTGCATGGTACACCAACAGAATCCCGTCTGTCTTGCTTGCCCAACACCAAGTAGAGGCACTCTAGACCCGGCCTCGAGGGGACAGGAAGCCCCGTGAGGGAAAAGGAAGCTCGATAAACCAAAGCGACCGCCCCTCCCCTCCCCTCCAGGCGTGGTCGGTGCTGAACCAGATACCCGGGCGGGCACAGTTGAGAGAGGGAGACTCCCCCCCCCCCCCCCCGCCCAGGTCTCTGTAATGCAAGTCAGGTCAGCCCCCTCATCCACAATCAAGTCATGGATGAGGGAAGATTTATTGTGGACCGACCTGGCGTTAAGCAGCAGCACCAACAGGCCCGGGGGGCGGTTGACAAGACTACCTGGAACCCTCAGGCTGGGAGAGTAACCAGAAGGATGAACAGGTGTAAGGCATCTGTTTCTCCTTCTAGATGTTGGTTATTAGTCAGGATAGCAAGGAACAAAAAAGGGGGCTGTGCTGTGCAGTTAACTAGACCAGCCTTCCTCAACCTGGTGCCATCCAGTTGTGTCAGACTGTAACTTTCATCACACCCCCAGCCATTGGCTATGGAGGGTGGGGGCAATGATAGGAGTTGTTGTTCAACTCATCTCATTAGAAAGCCAGGTTGGGCGAAGGAGCTACACTAGAGTGTTAGCAATGCCAGGTGGTTGGGTGTTGGGAAACCAGAAAGACTGTCATTCCTAGCCTGGAAGGGGAACTGTCTTTCCTTCTGTTCCTTGTGTTAGTGCTGCATTCCTTCCTTCTCCATTCTCCGTCTTCAGTAGAGAGGAAGGCCAGCTGATGACAGCTGGAAGATAATATCACTAGACTGGGCAGGGATGAAAGGGTTTCGCAATCTCTCTCTCTCATTCTGTCTTAAATAGTTGAAGTAGCGTTGTTTCTTTGGAGAACACACCTGTCAGGAGCAAAATCCTGTGCTTCTCCCTTCTAGTCATAGTTGGCAGCCCTTGAAAGCACAGCCCTCACAAGGCTGAGAGTTTCTTTCATCCCCAGGAGGAGGTTGGGTTGTGATTGATTTATGCTGTCCTTTTGAATTCGAGCCTTTAGGGATAGCAGCTTTGCTTTTCTAAACTGGGCAGGGGGGGAGGCTTGGCAATGGGTATGTGATGCTTGTAAAGTTTGAACAACAGTGTTTGATACTTGTATACATGTTCTCATTGAAGTTATTATTTGTGGTGTGCTGAAGGCCTTTCCAGATGAACAGTTTCTAAGCAAGAAATCTGCACTTGTTATTTATTGTGTAATATTCACATACCCTAAGTGAAAAGGAAAAAGAAGTTATGTTTTTCTTTTCAGTACAAGAAGTGCAGGATTCTTGTATGGCATTTCTTTTTCTTTTAACTATTTTCACTTTACCAGTCTTGAGTCCCAAACACTATCTAAAAAGTGGTGTGAGAAGCCGAGGAAGATAGGATCTCCTGAAGTCTCTTTGATAAACCTGCTAACTAGGCAGTGTTCTCTAGGCCAATACTTCTAAATTTGGAGAAAATTGTTCACCTATTTATTTAGCATGTAGATTTTTCTTTCTAAAACAAATGATATCAAGGAGGCAGCCAGACAAATTAGCTGCATTTTAGCCAGTAGCTAAAGGAGTAGTGTGGGGGTTTTGTTTTTTAAAAGGTCTGTCAGCCCAGCAGGAATAATTCCAGTCTGTTTTCATTCTGTTAGTGACTCCTAATTTGTTGTGTTTGATTGAAGAGGGTAGCAACTGAGTGGAAGGACGAAGGAAGAGACTGAGGATCAGGTTCTTACTTTGTGAGGAACTGGGAGAAATATTCCTAGCTTGGAAGTAGCTGTGTGGTTTACGAAGAAGTGACACATAAATGTCTGCTGTACAGCTGCTGTAGGCTTTGGGAAGGGGAACTTACTGTTAATGAAGAAAGGAATAGGATAAGTGGAAAGATATGGGAAGCTTGAGAATAAATATTTATTAGAATTATTTGTGTGTCTTTGCAAAAATCTCATGAGATTTGGCAGTGCTAGTTGTGGAATAAACTTTTTGTTTCTTGGTTCCATGTGTCAAGAAGATGTGTGTTTCTTCTCCTTAATCCCTCTCTTTTCAGTCTCATTTGCCAAAATGTAGCCAAAATGGTGCCAACCATACCCAAGGGGGAGATACCGGCAGACTTGGAGAAACCTTGAGGTGTATGCCCAAGTACAAAGCATCTTTAAGAGAGAGACCCAGTGGGAAGAGCAGCTCTGAAACAACCTATGTATACTCGAGCATGCTTAGTGTACTGACTGGCTGTTGGAGAGAACAGCTGGAAAACTGAGTGAGGGGGCAATATTATGGAGGAACTGACGGGAACAGTGAACAAGAACATTCCACAAAGGTCCCACTTGTTCTCTAGTTCGGACCTGAGAGACTGAGAAAAATCATGAGGCTTTCCCATTCCCTGCTTGAGAGTGGAGACCATCCTCACTCACTTGGGTACGAATCTTAACTCCTCCCCACCATTCTGGAACAAATTTCTTGGTGTCTGTCCTGTGCCCTTTAGTTGGGAGTTTTTTGAAATCTTGGCATCAAACAACATGAAAGGCATTGTGGTACAGTAAGATATGAGAGATGGCGCTTGTTTCCAGTGGTGCGGAAAGTGAAAACTGGCATTGAGGGCAGAGTGACTGCAATCCTCCTGCTGTGGCAGATTTTCCAGCATGAGGCTAGTGGGGTATAGGACAGTTGTCTGTCTGTTTTTGTATGTATAATTGCCTCTATGTGAATGTGGGCAGAAAAGAAAGTGTGGGATGTTGGTCAGAGAGGCCTGGGGCTCTGAATTATAGGTCCATGTATCCTTAAGTCCACCACAGCTTCAAATAAGCACTCTACTTAGAAAGACTGACTCTTTCTTGCCATTTAATAGGTCAAGATTTATTTTGGATGAAGACCTACCTAGTCTCCTGTTCCATTAGCATAACTCTACATCAGTATTGTATACTCTCTTGTGGTAGCAATTAGATGTACTTGGAATCTAGAGGGATGGCAAAATTAACATAACTGGAAGCATAATTTGAAGGGCATTGCAGGGTTGTGCTTTCCTGGGGGTAGAAATTGTTTTTCAGAAGAACTGAATTGGGTATTAAAGGAGTTCAGGTAGGAGTGCAGCATGTTTCTAGGTGTGGCAGTACCACCCAACTGCTGATGTCCTGTGTGGTGATATTTATTACTCTTATTATTATTTATTACTTTTTGTACTTGGTAATGTTCAAAATTGTGCATTGTGTGGATATGGAGAGATTTCATCCCTCTGTGATGATACTAGAACTCAGTGCCGATTGGTGGGAGCTTCAGAAGTATTTCTAGACAGACCAGATGGTTAAACTATGAATTCACTTCCACAGGATGTAGTCAACTTGGATGGCTTTATGAGGGAGCTGTTGCACTCATATCCTATTTGTGGATTCCTGTGGGCAGCTGGTTGGCTGCTGTGCAAACAGGCTGCTGGACTACATGTAACCTTGACTGGATCTAGCATGGCTCTTCCTCTGTGCTTACATAATGTATAATTTCTCTGGTTTCCTTGAGTGCATGTGTATGTTCCTAGTAGCTTTGCTTTACCTCTGTTCTTCTTACTTTATTTCAGTGCTGCCTACTTGCTCACCTCTGGATTTTCACTGCGACAATGGGAAATGTATCCGTCGTTCATGGGTCTGTGATGGGGACAATGACTGTGAGGATGATTCTGATGAACAGGACTGCCGTAAGTTTTTGTTGTCCTAAAGTATTGTTTATTAAAAGTTTCTGAGATCTAATACAAGAATACCTCTCCTTCTCAATATTACACATGGGATGGTGTAAGATATATAACAAGAACTCTCACTTTCCTGTTGTTCCCTCCCTCACCTTCTCCTCTAGTTCAATGCTCCAGTTCTTGAAAAGAAGCAACAGCAGATTTCACAGTCTTATTTGAATTACATGTTGCTCCCTAAAAGTCTCAGTTGTATTCAGTTATATTTAATTTCAATATTTTATTCTTTTATTAGCATTTTACTGCTCATTTTTTGGTTATTTTAAAGAATTTTCTTTTTTTGGTACTATATTAAAAATTAATACACAAAATACTATATTATGTATATAATTCTTTTAATTTCTGCCTCAGCGGTCCCCAAAATAATTTTCCTATTTTTGCTGGTCCCCAACTGTAAAAAGGTTGAAAACCACTGGGTGTTATGAGGCTTCAAAAATCCTCACAGAACCTAAAATAGACCTAGATCTTTGTGCAACGCTTATATAACCCATCTGTACTAGGTTTGCATGACACAACCCTCAAGCAAAATGGTGTTCGTGAGCTTCAGTGTATTCTCTGAACCTGACTGAGAAGAAAGACTGAGATTTTCTTAACCCTGCCTTATTTGGGAATGAACAAACCTTCTTGACCACTTCCAGTGCACTTAGCATGATGGCCAGTCCTAGAATTCTTTTGGGTTGTTGCGCGAGAAATGACCTGGTTAAAATCCAAGGACAAACCATAGGTTATAACTCTGGGTTAAATTTCTCCCTTAATAACCATGAGTCCTGAGTTGTATGTTTTGCTTAGTGTACCAGAAGCAGTCAATCAGCAAGCCACAGTTAAGAAATCATGAATAGTTTTGTTATGCAAATTAGGCCAGTGGCTGTAAGAAGGGATCTAAGCTCTTTTGTGTTGTCATAACACCAGGCATCTCCGTTTTCTTCAGGAAGTCCTAAATAGCATTACTGGCGACAGTGCCACCTCTGTACATAGTGGAAGCACATGATTGGAATAGGCCATTGGTAGCTTTCACACCTTTCTGTTCTTGTCCTTTGTTATCCTTAGCGCAAGCAATGGTGACTCTGCTCTTGATTTGTTTTAGTCTGAAAGCAAGTAGCTTGCCTGCCTTTTCTTCAGACTTCTAGTATAACCGCTGGGTGCATGCCAAATCATTATGTATTTTATTCACTTCATATTGGTTTTTAAGAAGGCAGAGTATTTCTTAAGTGTGTGTGGGGGAGTGTTACATTGTTTCAGTTCTTCCCATAATGTCTCTTCTAATGCCAACACCTGGTTGGCCCATTGTTTATTCCAAGAGGTTGAAGAAGAGATTATTTGCAAGTATACTTTATTTGTGTCCCTTAATAATGCTCTGCCAACTATTAATTGAATTGAGGAATTATTAAACTGCAGGAAGTACTAGATTTCTCTTTAGCTTGTAGGAAATTTAACTCATGTAACAGTGATATATTTAGGTCTTCGTCATGGCCTCTGTGCATCACACATTATGGGTACTGCGCCTGCACAGTGCCTGTTGCTGGGAACATTAAACAACTTTAACAGTTTTCGGTGGGAATTCCACACCCTCCCCTCCGTAGCATAAATGGGCGGAATGCCCACCATTTCCCAAGTCATCTTGCAGCCACCATTTGCTGTGCCCTCGAGCCTTTCGCTTTTCTCTCACAACTATATTCTGATAAAGTTTTGACTGTTTTTCTCTTGACTTTACAACTTTTCTGTACTCTCTATCCAAGTTATTACCCATCCAATCCCCCCTCATTTTTCATTGTTATTTCCTCCCTTTCCTCTTACCCCCCTATATCTATCTATCTATCTATCTATCTATCCACCCACCCACCCACCCACCCACCCGCCCTCTATTGTTATTCTTCTCGTTCGCTGTTTTCCTCTCTCTTTTCTTCGATGGTGCAGCGGGTGGCTTTCCGCAAATATTCTTAGTGCGGAGCCAAAATGTCTTCCACTGACCCACACAACCTGTGTCTTCTCTGCCTGGGAGAAGGTCACAGAACTGATAAGTGGGGCCATTGCCAGTCGTTTACCAGACAGGCCCGCAAGAACCATGAAAACCGTCTGCAGAAGATGCTCTGAGACCAGGCTTTGTTCGCCATGAAAAAAGTTTTGGTGGAGACCAGCGCATCTAAACCGGGGGTCTCAAACTCAACGTATCTGGGGGCCGCTGGAAGTAGAGTCTGGGTGAGGCTGGGCCGCATCAAGTATTCCACCACCACGGTGGTGGTGGGCCGCTCATCCCGCAGCTGACCCTGGCGCCGCTGGCGCTTTGAAGGCCTCAGGGCCCCTCCCCCGTGCCCCACCAGTCCCGGCAATTGGCCCGCGGGCCGCGAGTTTGAGACCCCTGAACTAAACCCACTCCTCCTCATCCATCTGAGGGGAATGCGACAGGAGGGAAAGCTCTCCTCACTGCAAGCAGAAGGAGAAGAGGAAGCACATTGGGTCCAACGAGTCTTCTGCATCTAAGAGACCCAAGAAGGACAAACCTGACAAGGCAGAGCGTAGGCACATAAAACATCCTAAGGTGCCCCGCTCTGAATTGGTGTCCACTCCACCTTTGGTCCTGATTGCCGCCTTGATTCTGACTCTGACTGATCCCTCTATTCAGTCGGTATACAAATGACTCCACCAGGGTCTCCACCTCAGATTGTCATTTTGGCTCCATCTAGTCTGGAACGTTCTGACCCTGTGACTAGAGAGTCTATGTTGGATGGCGAAATCCGAGAACTTCCACCTTGGTTGTGCGTGGACCTGCCACCTGTTAGTTCCTCGACACCGATGCCATCATCTCCGCAGGGATCTCCAAGAGCTCCTCAATGCCCATCCTTCCTCGCACAGCAACAGGTCCCAGTCCAACCTTCCAAGTACTGGGTCCCTTTACCATACGGGGAGTTTGATCCGTCATGTCCCTATCCATGGGACTGCTGTCCTCCCTATGGTTACTACCTGAGACAACCAATGAGTCCTCATCACTCCACCCCTCATTCGGTGTTGCAGGGTGCTCCATCAACCTCTGCGGCTGCCCTTTTTCAACCTTCGCCTTCACCTGTCGAGTCTTCCTTGAGTCCTCCATATGACTCAGACTCCAACTTGGACAACTCTCAACAGGTGTCAACATCATCAGATGCAGTGATCTCAACTCAGGGTCCAGGCTCCCCTGGAGACTCTCACGGCAACTTCGCGGAGCTGCTCTCCAGAATTACGAAGTTGTTAGAGATAGATGTCCAGCACTTCATTGATGCAAATCAGGACAATATCTACAACATCATGTGGAAGGAGGACTCCTCCTGCATCGCTTTGCCTTTCATTACAACGCTTAGGCAAGCAATAATGGATACATGGCAGCTCCCTAATCCTCACACCTGACATACAGACGATTGGAGTCTCTGTACATGGTTCGGGAACAAGACTTCCCTTTCCTTCTCAAACATCCCAAACCAAGCTCCATCGTCATCGAGGAAGACTCCAAGGAAGATGGGTTCTGCCAAGTAGTCCCTGAGATACCAGCTAGAGGACTAGGAGAGAATAAGGGGGAAAACAACCCATGGAAAGCCTGATAGTCAGGCACACTGTGGGTTGTTCCACAAACAACTCACACTGTATTGGTTTTTAGCAGGGTAGGTTGTTGTGTTGTATATCAAGTAACTAATGGGAGCTGAGATCAAAAAATAATCACAGGATGAACTCATTTGGTGGGCTTTGGGAAAAAAAAGTATAGTCCCAGGCTGTGGGGTTCATAGTTCTGACACTTCCTAAAGTCCCATGTCTTCTATGAAGGTGGCATCTGTAGGTAGAGTTGAGTCAGTTCAGTGTATGGTATTGTCATGGTGCTTGTAGAAGATAGCTGGGTAGTGGGAAAATGTTGAAAGATTCTTTTCTTTGGCCTGCTTTTTTTTGGGTGAGGGGCTTTCTGGAACTCTTTGCTGTGATCCATTACTGCTTTGGGAATGCCTTAGAATAGATAGATTTATCTCAGTTCTGAGCCCCATGTAAATCTCCCCTTTTCCCTAGTGCATCCCATTGTGTCGTCTTTGGTAGTATAGATACCAAGTAATTGTTTTTTCAGCATCTGGTTAAGACTTAGTTTGGCAGCATATGACAAGTCTTTTAATGCCAGGTTTTTTTATCAGATCCTAGTATCTTATTGTAACTTATATCTAAGATTTTTTAATTTTGTGAAGTTTTGTACATTAAAAGATTTTATATTCTATTTTATTATGCTGGGTTTTCTAATTTGGTAATTTGTGTGAACTTTGCAGAGAGCTTTGGCTAGTGGAATATAGAAATGGAATGAATGAACATGGAATAGTTTAAAGATGGCATGGGGAGCAGGAGAAGGTTCCTCATGCAAATTTATTTATAGCTTTCATATACTGTCCAACATACTAGCATCTTGCAAATAGGGGGCTGAGACCTGTGAGCACTTTCTGTTTGTGGATCCTAGCTGTCTGATTGATTAAGTCCCTGAGTAAGTTAGCTATAAAGTCCACTGTACTGCACTCTTCTGTGTGCTCAGTGGTGTCCACCACATACCTTCTAAGTCAGTGAGACTTGCTTGCAAGAAGGCCAGTTATCTTCAGTGCTTTTACTCTATAGCGTCTTTGTTAGACTCTTTACGTTTTAGTAACATCTCTCAAAAGACTCTGCTTTTTTTGGGACCTGCAGTTCAGAATTTGCTACCTTTATGAATGGTGCTAAATGTGGTTCTGATAGGGCCATTGTGGGCCCAGGTTGATTTCTGGTCCTGCTTTGGCTAGGGGAAATGAATTGTTCACATCTCTTAAGTGGTCGTTTTGACCCTGGCCCAGATGAGCAGGGAGAGTCTCTGTCTAGAGCAGGAGCAACATGCCAGAAGTGTGTTTTGAACTGTTATTGCAGACTTCTATGCAGAACCATTTTCTGAGTGCAAATAAAATGGTGCTGGTGTATCTCCAGTATTATTAACTCTTATGGGAGTGTATTTCTTTCACTCTGTTCCACTCTATCTGTACACACCCACAGATATTCACATTACTAAGCACAAAAGTAGTTATTAGTAGTGGCTATAATTACTGTGATGTTTTATCTGAGCTCTAGGTATCAAGTGACTGCATCTAATATAATGCAAACACTTGTAAAATGAGTTACACCTCCTCAAGTCCATGTGTTTCTTGCACTGCCTCTCCACTGCAGCTGGGTCCCCTCAGTGAGTCTTGCCCCATATTGGAAGGAGGGCATGGTACCAAGGATGCTGGGTGGCATGCAGAGATTTCTTGGCTCAGCAAATCTCCATGGTAGTTTTCCCTGTTCCCTTGTTATATCCTGTGTCCCTACAGCTCCACGGGAGTGTGAGGAGGATGAGTTTTCATGCCAGAATGGATACTGCATACGCAGTCTATGGCACTGTGATGGAGACAATGACTGTGGTGACAACAGTGATGAACAGTGTGGTAAGTAGTATGATTCTGATAGGTTGAGTAGTGCTAGAAAGCTGTATGCAAAATTCCACAGAACAGCCATTGTAGGACAGGTCATTAGGAAAGAGCTTCCATGGGCTTCATTACTAGGGTTATAGTCTGCAAATGATGCATTTTAGGGTTCTTGTAGGAAGACAGATATGCTGCCCACAACAGTTGTTTAGTGTAGCATAAGGGACTAGTTGGCAAGTGCTTCTGAGTCAGCGGATAGTATCAAAATTAAGAAGTGCATATATAAGTAGATCTGCACAGGGGGAATAAAAAGGTTGGGAATTTCATGGTGCACATGAACCATCTCGGGGAAATATTAGCTACTTGGTTTGCTGGAAGGAGTAAGTGGAGCCACACTAATTGCCAGTTCAGACTAGAGGCTGATGGTGCAAGATGGTTGGGGTTATACAGTCTCTTTTCTAAGCCAAAATACATCTTACGGTATTTTTTAATCTTGCTATATACTTCCTGAAAGTTTGGGTTTTCCTGAGACCTCAGCATTCTTGAACAATCCTTTAAAATGGGGGCAGTGTCCAATACTTAGAGAATAACCAAGCAATTAATGATCTATCTATAGAACAAGCATATTTATGGACTTAGGGGTGGGAGGTGCCTTTAAAATACACTCAAGTGTTGCAGGAGTGGAGTCTGATTCCGAAGAGGATTGATTGGGCTGGGGTGAAGATGCCGTTTCAGTTGAACTATTGCCTGTTCTGTCCTGTAGACATGAGGAAGTGTTCAGACAAAGAATTCCGCTGCAGTGATGGCAGCTGCATAGCTGAGCACTGGTTCTGTGATGGTGACACAGACTGCAAGGATGGCTCAGATGAAGAGAACTGCCGTAAGTACCCTTGTTCCAATAGTGCTTTTAGCACTTAGGCCAGGCTTCTTCAATATGGTGCCTCCGTATTTTGTAGACTTCAGCTCCCAACAGCCCAGCCAGCAGGACCACTGGTTGTAGGAGCTGTAGGCCAAGATGTCTGGAGGCACCCAGATTCATCTGCAATAAATAATAGGCATGCTCCAAGGTTCTCATCTTTAATGTAGCGACTTACTGTGACTGGAGCCTTGGCATGCTGAGATAGGGCATATGGATTAATAGTGCATATTCTGTAGGATTATTATGAATAATATTATCATGTTTATACCCTGCCTTTCTTCCTCTTGCAAGGAACCTAAGGCGGCTTACAAGCTTCTCCTTCTTCCCATTTTATCCTCACAGCAACAACACTGTGAGGTATGTTAGACTGAGAGTCTGTAACTGGCCCAGAGTAGTCCATGCCAAATTCATACTCCTGAGTAGAAAACCTGAGTAGAATATTACATCACCTCTCCTCCCTTTGATAACAGCCCCTGTCTCTTAAGATTTGAAAAGATAATGGATATCAGTTACATGAGATGAACCACCCAGAATACCATTCTTTTCCTTTAATACAGAAATAGCCATGTGTTCTCCCAGAGTAATTCTTTTTAGAAGGATTTTAATGGAGGAATGGAATAAAGTTATATTAGAATTGAAAATCCTTACTTGAGTGTTATTCCCAGAATATTTAGATGAAAAGGTGTTCTGTTGGAAATTATCCTTTTGTCCAGGTGAATGGTGTGTAAATTTGAAAGAAATGTAGGCATGCACACAAAAATACATTTTGCCCCCTGGAAGCAGGAAAATAAAGTTTACGACTGTTTTCATAATCTGCAATCAACCATCAATATTACTATCTTGCCACTTATATTTGGCTGAATGTAAAAGTGTTTTACGTTACTAATTTTGTGGGACTAACATGACAGCAATCCTCTGAATAGGGTATCTATTTTTAAGTCACTCTGTTTATTCTCTTGGTTCAACAAAAGCCACCAGGTTACTCATTTTGTTTCCCTCTGGTATCTTTTGGCAGCCTGAGTCCATTTCCCCTGTCTGTTTCCTGATTACCGGGACTTTGAACTAGACCTTGAGCAAAGATCTTGCAAGCTTGGGAAAGTGGGCATAATAAAGTAAACATTGGGAGAGAGGCTTTAATTTGTACTAAAAGGTCTAAGGAAGCTCTCTTGATAGATGACTTGTCAGGACATTTGGGAACATACTTATGTGTATGCACATTTTTATTACTCCTTCCAGACTCTTCTTTCCTGGTTGCTTAATAATTATTCATGAGGAACTTAAAGTGTTTGCAGTTAACTGATGGAGTACGGGGAAAAAAGGAGATGGCTTTAGCCCTTGTGGATTTCCCCCTTTCTACAAGTCACCTAGCCCTTTTATTAGGTTTTTGTTTCTAGCCATCACCCCATATATGTGCAGTAGCTAGATTTTGTGCTGAGTGCAGAAATCTGGTCTTCTCCCCCTTTTGTCTCAAGGGCATTTTTTATGGAATTTGTTCTAGATAGGAGGAAACTTCAAATGGTTTTGGTTGGGGAATGGGGAAGACTGTAGGGGCTGCCAGCTCCTGAAGGGCAAGGATAGGAGTAGTGGTGGGGCTGGGTGGCATGTGTGGTGCTTTTTATCTCCATATAGTGAGAACTGGCAAGGAGCCAGAGCTGCAAAGATTTCTGAGCCAGGAAAAGGCTCTGCGAATAAGCCAACTTCACTTTCTGCTGTCTGTTGCCTGTGCCTTCCTGGCTGGCTATTAATACTCATATGTGCATCAGGAATAGAGGAGGAGTGGTATATTAACCTTGCCCTGTCTAAATTGCGATTAATAAGCTAGTGTCTTACTTTTGTGTATTTCTAAAACCCTGTCCAGAATCTTACCTTTTAAAAGAAATAAGTGAGTGCTTCTTCCTCATTTTTAAAGTGTAGTAGGCCCCTCGTGCTCTTCTGTGCTCCTCAGACCCATTCCCTGTTCGTTGTGTTATGCAGCTGAAGATGATGCATGGCTTACAAGGGGAACTGAAGCCTAGTTGTCTGGATTCCAGTGCCTTAGAGTCCTCAGTGGTCACTTGCTGCCTTTCCTCAAATGCTGTTAGACTCACATGTGCCTGTCTTGTTTTGCAGTCGTCTTCTGTGGCAATGGTGACTGATCAGACTTATTTTCAAAGATTCTTTTCTATTTCCACTTTGGATTTTTCTGTGCTTTAAATTTTACAGTTGTGATGGTGCTTCATGGGAGCATTGTTCTCCTCTGCAGTTTTCCTTATGGAACTCACCTGAACTATAAGGAATTGCATGGGAGAAGGGATGATTGCAAAACCTTTGTCTTTGATTATACTAGGTCTTGCGTAGGGTCAGAGTGTACCTGGGAAGAATTCTTAGGTGGAAAAGAGATGTTAGTTCTGGCATCATTCCAAGGGAATGAGAAACGAAGCTCTTCAAAGGCCTGGCACGGCTCATAGTGTCTTCTGCTCAGCAGCTTTAGCAAGATCAAACCCTCAAACTAATATTTCTACTTTTCAATTTACCACTTGGCTAACATCAAACCTCTGCATAGTCATTCATCTCTTATGTGTATCCAGGTGTGACTTCAGGAATAGGGGAGAGTTATTACTCTGTGATACCCTGCAGCTTTCTTGGAGGTTGGCTTGCTCCTCAGGGCCAGGCCTGTAAAGAACAATGTATGCTGAGCACATGATAATCAATTGGAATGCTTGTGAGCTCACATATTATGATAGACATATGACAATTGCAGTTAACCACTGATCAACAGAGAATGGGGTTGCACATGTGAAAAAATGTGCCAACACCTGAAGTCATGTGCAATGCCCTATCATTACACAGTGGTTACATAAGTATGTCCAAAGAGTTTAGATTCTGGTAACACTTATAAGGGTATGGTGCCACTGAAAAGCAGCTGCAAGGCTCCTTTTCAGTGGCATGATATTCCTGTTGTAGCAACTGTGACAACTCTGCTCCTCACCAACTCCAGCATGCAAGCTCTGTGCACGATGGCCTTCTGAATGTGTGAAACTGCCTAACATCACCCACTACTTGGGAGGAGGCTCTAAGCCACTGCCTGTCACAGATCTGATAAGGTTTAAGGTCTGTGATATGAGTAGTCTGAATATACGAAAGTTCCCTGGAATAACAATAATGGTGGGAAGCTGGCTATTAAAGCAGTGAATGCTGTGTCTGGCAACAAAGAGTTCTCCATTTCAGGCCATTGCCTTTTGCTGCAGGTTGCTCCATGATACTTGTCAGTGCAGTGGCCACCTCTCTTACGCATGTATGCTGCTTCTTTTTCTCTGGGCATTCCAGGATCTCCAAGTGGTTTACATAAAAAGACATACGACAAAATATAGAAAACAATATAGAGAAGGCATAAACAGTAAATACCTTGAAAACATGTCAACAGTGAAGCAGAGCAGTATCATGACTGATCACAAATTGGGGAAAGCCTGAGTAGAGTGCGTTTCAAGAGGGATTTGCAGCTTGCCACAGATTTCTGTGGCAGATCCATGTGGGGGAGTGTTACAGAGGGTGGGTGCCACTGTTGAGAAGGTGCTCATACATGCTGTTGCCTGGTGACACACTGTATTGTTAGCTTTACTTCCTATAGCTCTCAGTGCCAGAAGCAGAGTGAATTTGGGGCTTTTCTTAGACCAACAGCAAAGAGGAGGAAACAACAGCTGTGAAAGCCCAAAACAAAAAAGACAGCTGCACTAATACATTGTTCTCAGTGTGTTTCAAGATGTGTGTGTCTGTCAAGGAAAATTCTTCACTTGTTTCTTAGACTCCCCAAAGAGCCACAGGGACTGCCTCATTTCTAGTTCTGTCCAGGTGATGAATTTTGTTTAATTTGTTTTATTAAGAGGTCAGAGATTCATCCTGAAAGGCATGAGGAATAATGTGATTAGTGCACATTCACTTTAATCCTGACTTGTTTTTTCTTATTAGCGTCAGATATTCCAGCAGCAACATGTAGCCTGGAGGAGTTCCAGTGTGCGTATGGCCGCTGTATCCTGGACATTTACCACTGCGATGGAGATGACGATTGTGGGGACTGGTCTGATGAATCCGACTGCTGTAAGTTGCCTGGGGTGGAAGCAGCACTAGCTCCAGGTTTTGGAGGGCTCCTGGGCAAGATGCTCTCAATGGAATCGCTTCCTTCTTGAGTCTGCCTTCTTACCATCATTGTCACCAGCTGCTGTTGCTCCTTCTCTTTTTCATCATTGCTCCCACTGGCTTGCTTGACAGGCAGAGAGCCAAGGAACAAGAGGGCAGGGGTATCTGCTGTTCTTCCTCCCCTCCACCACCATTGTCAGAATTAAGATAACACGTAGGTTGCAATAGTGAAAAGGAGGAGTGAGTGCAGCAGACCCTTGTCTGTGTGACCCTTGGCAGGTACCCATCTGTACATACCTTTGGCTCTGGCTCTGGGAGGAGGCATATGAACAGGTTATCTTTGAGAAAATGAGCCTGCTACACCAAGAATCTGTGAGTTCTTTGCTCAAAATTAGTGGTACAAATCCAACAATTGGCATAAATTTACTTTGAGTCATTGTGATTGCACTATTGGATTTTCTTAGAATTAAGAATGGAATGGCAAGGCAAACAAAGATGAGAATATGTGAGTTGGATAAGCATTAAGGCATGAGGAGAGCAGAAAAGGAATCCTGTGGGTAGATTGGTTCCTAAATGGATAGAACTTTGATTCAGCTTCTGAAATTGGTGTGCCAAGTTCCCAGGAATAGTACAACAAATGGTACAGACATGTTCAGACTCCACAACCTTGAAGGCTAGAGAAAACATTTTTTTAAATTAGCAATATCAGAATTTCAAATGTTGTTACAGATTTCAGAATATGTACTACTAAGCTTCAGATACGCCTGGCTATTTAACCAGATAAAGAAATCAGGTTAGAAAAGGATGAGTCTTGTCCTTGTTGGGAATGCTTGGATTGCAGGAACTCCTAGTTCCCCTATAATTTGTTATGGCTCCTCTTAGCTACTGTTTTAGCTAAGAGGAGACATAACAAGAAGAGCCATAAGGCTCAGCAGGGGGACATGATCCTCCCTCCATTCAAGTCCCCTTGTTTCTCTCTTGCCTGGCTCTTTCTGCTATGTGTCTAGCCAGATAGTGCAGTCTGATTGCCAGCTCTGCATTGCTTTGCTTACCAGCATTGCCACTCCAGATCAGTAATGTTTAATGCCTGAATCACTGGGTGTGCTCAGTGAGAGTCAGCTGGCCTGCTTAACTAGCCTGTGACAGCCCCCTTAGTTCCTTACTAGGAACTGCTGCTAAAGTCACACCCGGATACACACAAGAGAGGCAATCTGGTACTCTCTAGATCTTTTGGATCAAAACTCCTCTAAGCCCTACATGTTGGTAATATTGATTGGGACCTGTCAGACCTGTGATCCATGGGCACCAGGTTACCTATTCTTGGTTTATCTGAAAAATAGTCCCTGCACATACCTTCCCCAGGTCTGTACATGGCACATCCTGGGCTGTATTTATCGTGGCTGGGCAGCTGGGGTGGGTAGAGTCATGTCTGGTCTCTGGCTTCTGGCTTGATTGCTTCAGGGCTGTCCTCCTCACAGCTATTTTAATTGACTCCTATGTGCTGGGTTAGAAGTTAAAGGAGAGGGAGATGGAGGGGGTTTTAAGTGCATTATTTCTACCTGGCTTTTCAAATATTTCATAAAATGCAGATGATAATCTGGTGCAGTTGTTGATTTGCAATAATTCATGAAGTTATGCTATTTTCTGGACAGACATATCAAATGCTAGGAGTAGCAGGAATTACTTTTAGAGAGTTAAATGTCATCCTCTGGACTCATCACTAAAATCCTGAACCATGCTGGCTGGGGCTGATGGGAGCTGCAGTCCAATCCATCTGGAGAGCTTTAGGGAAAGGTGCTCTTCAACTGAAAGCTTCCAGCATTTTATCTGGAACAGGAGACTGAGGCACCTAGGCTTGTTCCTCTTAGCAGAGCATGAATTACAATGTGGTGCCCTCTCTCCATAGCATCTCATCAGCCCTGCCGCTCTGGGGAGTTCATGTGCAACAGTGGTTTGTGCATTAATGCTGGGTGGAGATGTGATGGCGACTTTGACTGTGATGACCAGTCGGATGAGAAGAACTGCAGTGAGTACTTTGGGGCTCGTGAGAGAGATTCAGTGCACATGCAACAGGAGGGGTGGCACTGAAGATGAGGGGAGACTGCATAAGAAGGGTATGAAGTCAGCAGGTCCATTTTGCAATTATCCCATTTGTGTTTCCTCAGCGACATCTGTGTGCACAGCTGACCAGTTCCGTTGTAAATCTAGTCGCTGTGTCCGCCTGTCTTGGCGCTGTGACGGGGATGACGATTGCACTGATAACAGTGATGAGGAAAACTGTTCAGACACAGGTGAAAAATTTGAAAGTGGGCTACTTCATTGCATTTCTTGTATTCTACCTTCTGTATTAGGCTCATCTGCTAAATTTTATATCAGGAATTGGGACGGCAGTGCTTGATTTTCATTTTAGCTACTGGATGAGACAAGCTAGTATGTTTCAATCCTCTGTGTTAGGTGTTACATCATTGCTACATGGTATTTACTAGCGGAATCCCTTCAAGAGCAATAAATTTATTTCATTTTTATTATAATAAACATTGTGGAGGAACAAAAAAGAGGCAGGAAAAATAAAACTTCAAGCAGAATAATTTTTCTATTTCTGCTTTTTCTTCTGGGCCTCGAATTAAGAAGTGAAGCATTTATAACAGGAAACAAGTCTAGGTACTTAGTTTTCAGCCTTCTTCAACTACAACTTCCACCATCCTGAGCCAGCACAGGAACCCACATCTGAAGAGTGCCAGCTTGGAGAAGGCTGCTTTAACAAATGAGACAGAGAATGAAACTGTATTCTCCAGATATCTTTCAGAGTCACTTCACATGCTTATTTCTCCTGGCATCAGTGTCCAGGTTGTGGACTTAATGTGCTTCTTCAAGAATGATGTAGATAGCTTTGGCAATGGTCAACTTGATAGCATGGAATAATGTACACGATAATATCCAAGACTGTACTGGATGTGTTATATTGAAAGAGTCTTTTCTTCATTGCACACCTTAATGTGGTGAGGAGGTTTGAGAGTGTCAGAGACGCTTAAGAGCAATGCTGCCATGAGGCCAGACTCTATTACTAGGCACTCTCAATTTCTCACCCAATAGCCGAAGCTCTCCAGGTGGTTCACAACAATTTCTGGAGTACAATAACAATAATCATTTTTAAAAAACAGACTGCACAATTGAAAGTTGAGGATGGAGAAGGTGCTTTCTTGCTGCCAATAACATTCCTGAGAAATTTAAAGCCTGCATAAAAAAAACAGTTGCATTACTGAATTGGTTTAACTGTCAATTAGAAGAACTGTGGACTGCCACCCGAGACATTTATTAAGGAAGAATGCAAAATGACAGTTCCTGCAGCAGAAAGAAAGAAAAAGCCTAGATTGGTGCCAGAAGAAACATTCATAATTGTGAAGAACAGGCAAGGAGCAAGAGCAAAAGGTGACAGAAATAGGGTCAGAATTCAGAATGCAACTTTTCAGCAACTATCATGTAGAAAGGCCAGCGCAAAGAAATAGACAAGAACAGCAAAAGAGGTAAAACAAATCTTCAGAAGATCCAGTAAATCAAAGGGAAATTCAAATCTACATTAGGAATGCTGAAAGACCAAGAAGGGAACAGGATAAAAATCATATTTTATCTAGCTAGGATAACATAGAAGGTAGAAATAATACGCACAAGAACTATACAGAAGAGATAAAAGGGTGAAAGGCTTCTTCAGTGAGAAACCCTGTGAAGAAGAACATGCAGTATAAGAAAGTGAAGTGAAAGCTGCTCTGAAAGAACTTGGAAGGAATAAAGCACCTGGAAGGTACCTATTCCAAGCTGCAGAGACTGAAGCAGTTCAAATCCAAGCAATAATATGCCAACAAATATAGAAAATAAAAAATATTCTTGGTATTAAAACATGACAAAACTGAAGCAGTTGTATGTCAGGCATATCGCATGAGGTAATGCAGAATGAATAAAATCAGAGCATAATAACCTGTAACATAATCAAGTTAAAGACAATCCTTATGGCAAACAAAACAAACCTCATTCACTTGATGCTTAACAGAAGTGGCATAATCAGTATGTGTTCCTCCATTAAAGGAACAAGGGCGCATGCTAAGACTCTGGAATCTTGAGGAATATGAGTTCAAATGGCAAACAAACTGTATTACATCAGTTAGAATCTACTACTTATTTTCTGCCCTTTAGGAAGTCCCCAGTGTGCCCCTGACCAGTTCCTGTGTGGGAATGGGCGCTGCATTGGCCAAAGAAAGCTGTGCAATGGGGCAAATGACTGTGGAGATGGGAGTGATGAGAGCCCTGAACAAAACTGCCGTAAGTCTCATGCGTATACTCACACACACTCCATCCCAACTCATAATTTATTCTGGGAGTCAATCCCACTGGCACAAGATGTGCAAGGTAAGTTTTCACATATGTTAGTCACTGATATATATTGGAGGTGGAAAAAACTATTTCAGCTCCTGTTCTTTGGGGAGTTAAGCTAGCCTTTTGAGAAAGTAGTGGGGAGTTAAAAGAAAAATCCCGTATTTTCTTTGTGTACAAGTATCCCCATGAATGGTTCCAAGAGCAAGGATGCCACTAAGTGTACTAGTATAAATGTAATGTCTTCTCCATCGTGAGAGCTTGCCACTTAAGAAATCGATGTACAAGATGGAGCAGAACATCTGTCCATGTCTGACCATTATGACTATTACAACTAATGCTCATTAGGAGCCCAACATCTGTAAGGAAGGAAACGGGGAGATGGGTGGTTGTTGGAAAAGGATCAGGAAAGAAGCTGGGGAGGAGTCCCCAAGGGAAATGAGTAGAAGGGAAGAGGCACTGAAGGAAGTGGGTCAAGGGATTTTCCTAGTGACCTTCAAAAACCTCCCTCCACATACTACTTTCTAAAATCCTGGAACATATTCTGTGGAAGAAAGAGCATGCAGATGGGAATGGCCGAAGGCAAACATATTTAAGAAACCTAGCAAGGTTTCTCTTTGTGAAGAAGAGACTTTTCCTAAAGAAACAAGGAACATGGTATATGTTTCCTCCTTAGGATCAGCTTGTCAGTTCTGGGTCTTCAGATACCTTGTAACATCAATTTAGTATATCAGTTACCATTGCTTTCTGTGCTGTGTGTTCTTTCCACAGGCCCCCGAACTGGCGAGGAAAACTGTAACCTCAACAATGGGGGCTGTGCTCAGAAGTGTCAGATGTCTCGAGGGGCAGTACAGTGTACCTGCCACACAGGCTACAGGCTCCTAGAGGATGGCAGGTCATGTCATGGTAAGCAGTCTTAAGGCCTAGCACATCTCTTGGTAGAAACTCAAGTAGCTGCAGACAGAACTGCTGCAGAATTTAGAGTCATGCTAAGGCTCTAGCCTATGTCCTAGTACTGCCAAAGACTAGGACTTAAACAAGTTCAAAGTCAGCTGCATAACTGCTCTGAGGCTTCAAACCTGTTCCTGTACTGCTTGTCCACTGAATATACTGAGCTGAAAGGCGTATTCATCTGACTGGGTTCTTAGATTCCCCTCACCCCTCATCGCATTCAACATGAGCTGAGCAGGAAATTAACAATAGTGCATAATCCAAAATCAAAGGAAGGTCTGGCTGGTCAATTACATATTTAAGGAATTGGTAACTCACTCCCCTTGTCCTGTTCCAGATGTGAATGAATGCGCAGAGGAAGGCTATTGCAGCCAGGGATGCACCAACACTGAGGGTGGCTTCCAGTGCTGGTGTGAGCAGGGCTACGAGCTTCGCCCAGACAAGCGCAGCTGTAAAGCACTGGGTAAGAAGGAATGTTGAGCTCCTCTGGATAGGCTGCCTTTCCTGGTCTTGTCACACTATAGTATCCTAGAAGCTGTAGCTGTGTCTGATAGTATACTGCTGGCTTACTTTAGGTCTTACTTTCTGTTTGGCATTTAATCCTTGGTTGCTGCTTGTACCACAGACCAGACAGATGCTCTTTCATTGGCTCATCCTTCCTGTTTGCACCTGTTGAAAACAGAAGGTGGATGCTTTTGAGGGTGATGACAGTGGATCTGTACAGCTGTGCTTTAGGCATTTGAGTTACTTATTTTAGCACATGTACTTCCCACCATTTTTCTAGCAAGGAATCCAGGCAGCTTATATATTCCTGCTTGCCATTTTATTCTCACAACAACCTTTTGAGGTAGGTTAGGCTGAGAGTCAGGGACCGGCCTAAAGCCACCCAGTTAATTTTATGGCCACATGAGGACTAGAACTGGGATCTCCCAGATCCCATTCCAATACTTTACTATGCCTCGTTGGCTATCTTTTTTTAATGGACAGTTGTGCATCAGATAAGACACAGATGGAACTGATATAAAAAAATCCTGGACTTAAGAACATTAAACTTCAGTGAATGTTTATTAAAGGTTTTGTGATTGCTGAGGGCTGAATCCTGAGAGCTTTGCATCTTTACTAAGTGATGTAGGTTTTCCAGAAAAAAGATTTTCAGAGAATTTTCCAGTGCTCTAAATAAAGAGTTCCATTACTTCTTTGCATATCTTGCCATATGTATCTTGCATTTTTGGACAGTTTAGATGTTGCTAAACGCTTTTTCATTCTTGTTGCGTTGTTAATATATTCCTGCCTTTAATATTTACATTTACCAACTGTCTTTCTTCCTTCAGTGTTTTCAGTGTAGTGATGCCACACACTTGTTGTCTTGTGTTTTGGCATTACGATTTATTTCAAAGGTAACCACGAGCACTCGATAACCAACAAATTTTATGCAAAAACTTTCTGACTTCCTGAATTCAAGAGAAGAAATAAGGCACTTCTCTGAGCAAAGTGAAACAAATACCAATAATAATAGTAATCACCATTTTCACCAATAATCACCATTTTCATTTCAGTTTTCTTTCACTTTGTTACTGAATAATGTTATCAATAGAGGGCAAATACACCTTGCTTAATTCCAGGTCAGATCCAGCCCAGAACCAACTGCATTATGCATAGGAAGGATATGTCATGCCTTAGCTTTTCACTTTCCTTGTGGACAACTGAGCACAACAGTTTGTCAATGCTTGCTATAGAAGAATAACTTGTAGAAGTTCATATCCAATATTTAGCCCATCTGACATGAATTATTGCAGTACAATAGTCCAGACAATTATGCATGGTATGGAAAATTTTCTACAGAAAAATATAGCACTGGAATTTTTTTTGTCCTACATCACTGTATTCATGTGTGGTTTTTATTTTGTTGGGGTTTAGATATGCTGATTCATCTGATTCCTAACAAGCCACATGGTAGTTCTCTCAGTTCCTGGCACTAGTCCAACAGGAAGGGCTATGGATTCAGATTTCAGCAAAATAGAGCAGTTGTGTGGTTGGCATGAGTGGCATGACCCATGTGTAAAATTCACTCGGTGTAGTTTAACCTTTTTGAGGGTTTAGCTTCCCACATTACTAAAAAAAATATATGAGAAGACGGGAAGCTGTGTCTATATGTCTTGCATAACATTAGTATGAATATTCTTGTTAAGTAACATTTTCATGCTTGGCTTTTATTCATGAATTACTTTTGTTGTTCATCTTTATCAGCTGCCTCTTTTCATCTTGTGTGTGTCCCTCAGGGCCAGAGCCTGTGTTGCTTTTTGCCAATCGGATTGATATCCGGCAGGTCTTACCTCACCGCTCAGAGTATACCTTACTTCTAAACAACCTAGAAAATGCCATTGCTCTTGATTTCCACCACAGCAAGGAGTTAGTGTTCTGGTCTGATGTCACACTGGACCGCATCATGAGGGCTAACCTGAATGGCAGCAATGTGGAGGAAGTAGTATCTACAGGACTGGAGAGTCCAGGTGAGCATCTTCAGCAATTCTAGAGTCTCCATGAGTATTGATATGGTGTCTAGATATTGTAAAGTTTCCTAAAATGATTTTGCAGCCTTGTGTTGCTTTGTTTGGACAAGTGTTCATTGAGGGCGCTTTTCCCATTTTCCTTTAGTGGAATACATCTGGCCATACTCATTACTTAGCTGGATTGATCTGTCTATTTCAATTGATTTGTCTATGTATTTCTAAGCTGCCAAGTAGTTCAAATAGTATCCCTTGGCAATGTACAAGAGCAGAATTATGACCAGACAATTAAAACTATTATTAAAATGTAAACAAATTGATGATAATAGCAATAATATAACCAAGATCAATCAAAACATATCCAGGTGAGATGTACAACCAAATTTACTAAAATTACAATAAACATTTAAAATCATTATTAAAATGCGTGGAGAAGAGATTTTTTGCCTGGTGCCAAAATGAAAATAGAGTTGGTGCCAGGTGAACTTCTCTGGTGGAGTGTGTTCCACAGGTGGGTGACAGCCACTGAAAAGGCCCTTCTTTTATTTACCACCCCCCATCTCCTTGAAGGATGGCACATTCAGAAGGGCCTCTTGCCCAGAAATAAATGGTCAGGCAGTCATGTACAGGAGAAGGCAGGTAACCAGGTCCTAAGAAGTTTAAGACTTTATATATTAAAACAAGCACTTTAAATTGGGCCCAGACTTCAACTGGTAGCCAATATAGTTAATACAAGAAGGGCATTATATGAGCCTGTAAATTAGCACCAGGTACTAATCATGTGGCCCTGTTCTGAAGCAACTGAAGTCTGTGGCCCATCTTCAAAGACAGCCCAGTGAAGAGGATGTTATAGTAATCTAAGCTGGATGTTAGCAATGCATGGGTGACTGTGGTCAGGTTCTGTCTATCCAGGTAGGGGTATAGTTGGTATATTCAGTGCAGCTGAAAGAAGGTGCTCCTGACCAGAGTCCACTTGGGACTCTAATGATAGTACTTGATCCAGGAGCACCCCTAAGCTGCGGATCCTGTCCTTTAGGGGGACAGGTGACCCTGTCCAGGACAGGTGCTTGGGCAAACCAAACCAAGCACCTTGTCAACGTCATTGGGTCTCAGCAACTGATACTCATCCAGAAACCGACTAAGAACCTGTGCACTGGACACATTCAAAGATTGAAGTGATTTCAGCTGTGGAGTCCAGCTCACAGTGGATCTGGGTGACTTTTCTTTGAAGTGTACAGTGAATTCATCACGAGCCATCAAGGGCTCAAGGGTCTCATCTGGAGAACCAGACCGAAGGAGGCCCCAGACCACTTGAAATAGCTCAGCTGGATGACACTGAGGAAGCAATACAGCTGGAAAACCGTCTTTTGCTAACTTTATTGCCATGGAATAGGCTCATTAAGGAGCTCTAAATCATGTTCGGTCAGACTCATCATAACATTTCATTCACCCATGCTCTAGTTGTCTCCCTTCTTGCTTCATTGCTCTTAGTTCAGGCATATACCATGGAGCTGATCAGGCTTTGCCAGAGTGGAGAGGGCACTTAGGTGCGATTGTGTCAACTGCCCAAGCCTTTTTCTTGTTACATATGGCAACTTGAACTTCGACAGGAGTGCCCATGATATCTACTGAGTGATTCTCCAGAGCTCTCTGGACATCCACTTGGTCCATCACTCTTTGTGGGTGGACCAATCTAATAGAGAGGGTACAGGGCTAGTAGTCTAAACCTCACCAGGAAATTGTCCATTCATGAAAATGGAGTTAATATCATACCCACCACATAGAAAACCAGGTCCAAGAGTATAACCTTTTTCATACAGCGGGTTGATGACGTGTTGAGACAGCCCCATGGTTGTCACGGAGGACATGAAATTCTGAGCCTCCCCTGGCCAAGACAGCCTTGGCATGTCAAGTCCCCTAGAACCAACATTCTGGGAGTCCTGAACAGCACATCCAAAACTGCCTCTGTCAGTTCAGGTCGGGAGGCTGCTGCTGTGCAGCAGCATGGGGAGTATGCTAGCAAAATCCCCTTTTTGTCTCACAAGCCTGATGTCAGGTATAAACACTCAAGACCCAACCCTGAGGTGACAAGAGAGCCTGGAGAGTTGCAATGAGTCCTTATAAACTATAGCCACTCCTCCTCCCTGGTTCTCCAACCAATGTTGGTATTGTACTGAGTACCCAAGGTGGGCACAGTTGTGAGAGACTCTGCCGTCTTCTCCCACCCAGGCCTCAGTAATGCATGCCAGGTCAGCACCATCATCCAAAATCAAATCATGAATGAGAGGAGTCTTATTTTTAATTGACCTGGCATTCAGTAACAGCACCAGCAAACTGGAGTGCAGGTCGTTACAAGCCAGAAGAGGGGACAGGTATAAGGAGTCTGACTCCTCTTCTTCGATGCAGCCTTGTTCATCCAACACCACCCTATGACCCACTACTCATCACCACCTCAAGGCTGCATCACCAGCCCCCCATCTCTCTCCGACACTATAAGGTTGTCCAAAAAAATTTATTCAACTCGCCTATTGATCTGAGCAGACTTGCCCAGGGTCCCACACCCAATAGGTGCTAACAGGCACTTACTTTGTCATTACTTTTTGACTGCCCCTACTGGGTTCCTGAAGAACAAGCAGCTGGGGTTGGGAAGTCCTGCCCCTGCGGTGATGTCTGGAGAACTGATTGCAGCTGGTGCGTTCACTCTTCTCTGCACGCTCCCTCCCTTCTCCCCCTGCCCCCAGGCAGTGCTCTCTGCCACAGTTGAGGGAACTGGTGGTGGGGTGTGCAGGGAGGTGGTGTGGGCAGCAGCGTGGCAATGGCAGCACAGCAGCAATAGGTGCACTGTTGCCAGAAGGAAAAGCAGCTGGCATTTGGAAGTCCCTCCTCTGGGGTGATGTCTAGAAAATTGGCTGCAGCTGGTGTGCTTGCCCACCCTCCCTCCACTTCCCGTGTTCTGTTGTTGCACAGTAGTCACCGATTTCCTTTCTCCTTTGGGTCTTAGGTGGACTGGCCATTGACTGGATACATGACAAGTTGTATTGGACAGACTCTGGAACATCTCGCATTGAAGTGGCAAATTTAGATGGCACCCACAGGAAGGTGCTCCTTTGGCAGAACCTAGAAAAACCTCGTGCAATTGCTCTTCACCCTATGGAGGGGTGAGTGAGGGATAGTTATGGGCTCCTGTCTTAATGTTGCTGTTGAAACATACTCTGGCCAGGCTTGTAGGGTTAGATCTAGAGGTGTCCTTGTGCAAATGGAAGGGGAGGAAATCCAGCATTCTTTCACTGGATTAGAGTGTTAGGGTAGGGGCAGGCAACATCCTAAGGAGAGGTTTGCACAAATCTGCACCCTGTCCAGCAGGTGCATCCTGTGAGTAAATTCTATTTAAAGGAATTCTGGGTCCTAGTTATTGTATAGAGCGATAAAGCCCTTCTCACTCTCCAGTGACTTATAGGGCTACTTCTAGCTGCATACAAACTATTTTACTATAGTTACTGATGTGTACATTTTGTGAAGGCAAAAGGTTCCAACCAGTAGTAGTTTGTTAGAGGTGCTTGCTTGCCCCTTAAGAGAAATGTAGTTTGAATCCATAGCCCTCGGTTGCATTCAGCAGCCTCAGCTGGTTTTGTTTTTTGGCTTTTGATTACTAAAGCTGTCCTAGTGAGCAGTGCCTCTTCTGTCATCTCCTCCTGCTCTTCTTCTTTGATCATCCCTGTTTTCCAAAATTCATGCTTTTCTGTTCTCCAATAGCACTATCTACTGGACTGATTGGGGAAATACACCTCGCATTGAATATTCCAACATGGATGGCTCCAATCGGCGCATCATTGCTGATACTCATCTTTTCTGGCCAAATGGGCTAACCATTGACTATGCAGGGCATCGAATGTACTGGGTAGATGCCAAACATCATGTTATTGAGAGGGCTGACTTGGATGGACAGAACAGGAAGGCTGTTATTAGCCAAGGTGAGATAAGGAAATTGGGACTGCCAGCAATTGGCCTAGAACATCTACATAAACCGTGCATGCCACCTCTACCTTGTATAGTTAATTTTATTGGACAAAGGTAGCACTGAGTAAGGCTACTGCCAAGCTCTTGAATGAGATGAAAAGTGAAGTGGGCCCCATTGACTGTATGCAGTTTATTCTTTTACTCATGGCTTGATTGTGCAACAGTTGTTTGTAATTCCACCTTTTCTTATAAAAATAGCATAGGCTTAGTTGGCTCATCTTTTGGCCCTGTGTCAAGAATTGACAACAGGGCAGTTGCTAAGGGTCCACTGTCTGTTCTGCCACCAATCCCAAATGCCAGTTGAAGCCACCAAGGCCCAGAAGCCCTCTCACATTGGTGGCCATGTGGCTGTGTCTGAAGCCTGCCATTTTAATTCCTGTACAACAACTTTGTGGCCCTGGAATGGTATTGCTCCAGAATGTCATTGGTACATTGAGGCTTCAGAGGCATTGAAGAACCAGTAACAGAGCTGGCTAGTGCCCTCACTCCCCCCCTTCCCCACTTTCTGCACTTGCCTTCCATTACCAAAGGGGAGGACACTGTTGGAGCTGCTATCTAAGGACCCATGGGGGAAGGGTTGCATTAACCTTGGCATCTGTTCTGGGCTTCATATGCATCCTTTTCGCTAAATTTAGCTCTTGGTGGTATGAGCTTGATTTGCCTGTGTTTACAAATTTTAGTAGGAAAAATGGGGAGTTGGCTGGGGAGACAAGTACCTTTAGAAAGGTGAAGACAAGCCTTGATTTCTCTGGAGGCTTGAAATAATAACCCATGTGCTTTTTCTGGATTCTTACTGCAGGTCTTCCACATCCTTTTGCCATCACAGTATTTGAAGACAGCCTATACTGGACAGATTGGCATACCAAGAGCATAAATAGTGCCAACAAATTTACCGGCAAGAATCAGGAGATCATCCGCAACAAGCTTCACTTCCCTATGGATATCCACACCCTGCATCCTCAACGCCAACCAGCAGGTAACTGCAGAGGAAAAAGGGATATTAATGTCTTCTGTGCTTTGTCTAGAGTTGTAGTTGTACTACTATGCTGCTAAACATGGAGATATTAAGTCACGGGGTGAAAAAATATATTCAGCTAATTTAGAAATATTTCTAGAGTCTGTGACCTAAAAAAAATTTGGGGTCATTTTAAGCCTGCCCCTTCCATGTCTTTGTAGGTGAGAAGAAGCTGGAAAATAAACAAAAAGGCAAATGCTTCAAGTGGCTCAAGGACTCTTAATTCTCTTAATTACCCTAAGGGCTCAATCAAGATTAGGAATATTTGGGAAGAGCAGCTTCAGGGATCTTGAAGCTAACCTTGAAGCAATAATGGAAGTTGGAGCTCATCCACTGACAGTGGCCTCCAACCCACCATGCTGCAGGTGGCTATGGGCAAGGAAAATATTGCATTGGCTCAGGCCTTTTGGCTTATGATGCACTTCCCTTATTCTACACATTCACTCAGTTCAGAAGAAAGGAGGGAGAACTTCCAGTATGAGAAGTAGTTACAGTCTTAATTTGGGCCCTGTCCTTATCCCCAGTTGGAGATATATTGCAGAACACAAGAATTGCCTACTTAAATCCAACCTAATGTCTGTGTTTAGTGCAGACCTATATACAGTTCTAAGTCATGTAAGGGCTGTAAGCATGCATAAAATTGCACCCGTAGTCTCACTTTCCATAATTAGTATTCAGTCAGAAATAAAGTGGAATAAAAGATAATTCTTTTCAAGAGTGAAAGCCTATGGCCTCCAGACATTGTCTTGGGGGCATAGGATTCTTTGGTGTCCAGGTATGGTGATCATCTGACAGCTGATCCCTCATTGTACCCCCTTTGCAGTGGGCGCAGAAAGAATTACACTGGCTGTCTTCCCAAGAGCACGAGCATGCCTCAAAAGGGGGAAGGGGTGTGCCGTGAGGAGGACACACACACATGAACACACACAGATAAAACTGTTCTAAAAATGCGCCTCTGTAGTTCTGGCTCTCTCTTTCTGCTAGTTTCTTTATATGTGGTTGTCTTTGGCTATTTGAGCAGGGAGAAATCATTGTGGAACAAACAATGGAGGCTGCACTCACTTGTGCCTACCGAACAGCAAGTCATACACCTGTGCCTGCCCCACAGGTTTTCGGAACACCAGCAGCCACACCTGTGCCCAGAGTAAGTGCCATAGAGAAGAGATTATTATTATTATTATTATTATTATTATTATTATTATTATTATTATTATAACATTTCTATGCCGCCCCTTGCCGAAACCTCGGGGCGGCTTACAACATGATAAAATACATTGAAATACAATAGTACATAATAAATTACTATTAAATATAAAAATACAAAAAATACATTGATTTACAAATACAAAATTAAAATTATCAGTATAAAATAAAAATATAGGAGGAGAAAGAGAAGGAAGAAGAAGTTGCCCAGGCCAGATCATATGTTTTAACAATTGAAATGATGTTTAAATAAAAAGGTCTTTACCTGGCGCCGAAAAACCAGTAACGACGGTGCCAGGCGGACCTCTTTGGGGAGTGAATTCCATAGAGAAAGCCCTCCTCCGGGTACTTACTCTCCTAATTTCTTTCATGGAGGGTTCCCGGAGAAGGGACTCTCCCGCATATCTCAAAGGGCGGTCGGGCATATACGGACGTAAGCGCTCGTTCAGGTAGCCTTGATGCTGGGTCCTTGTGTGTGTGAGAGAAAAAGGCAGGGTTGAGGAGCGGGGAGGGAACAAGACAGAGAAACTGCAGGCTTGCAGCAAAAATTAAAAATGAAAGCAAATTTTATATCGGGAGTATTAGAAAAAACTGATAATTACCAGTAGCACAATGTGTTTATGAAAACTGAACGTTGATGGCGCAGCTGCATTTGGAATATTGTGTTTAGTTCTGTTTACATCCCAAACAGAATTATCACAGAGCTGGATAACATGCAGAAAGGGCTAACAGAATGGTCAAGAAGTTTGAGTACCTTCCTTTCAAGGAAAGCCTAATTGGTTTGAGGCTTTTTGCTTTGAGGGGGTGGATGGGAAGAATGCCTTAGGATTTTTTTGTTAAATTGAAAGGTCAGCTTCAAGTGTCTTAAATAAAATGCCACTGCTGAAACAAATGGCATGGAGAAAGTGGATAGAGAAAATTTGGATAAAGAGGAGACCAAAAGCTCAGTGGAATTGGTTGTCAGTACGTACAGGACATGAAAAAAGAAGGACCCACACAATGCATAGCTGACTTAATGAACTTTATTGCCACAAGCTGTGATAATGGCCATTGACTGAATTGGTTTTTAACATGGGCTTAGACAAATTATTGGAGGCAACTTAATCCATACCTAATACCCATGATGACCATGTGGTTTCAAGAGCTTTTGAGGCAGCCTACCTTTGAGTACCAGTTGCCAGGGCAATCAATGAGGAAGGGTTCTTTCTCTCATGTTTGTGGGCATTCCAGAGCCTACTAGCAGTCAACTTGTGGAAATAGCACACTGGGCTAGATGGACCTTATCTGACCCAGTGGGGGTCTTTTATTCTTATTCCTGATTTATCTAGGGGCCTGGGGACTGAATTTTTCTCCCTTTGCTTTTAGAATGATGGAATGACAGCTTACTTAAGTGTCCTTTCCCAGCACTGTAGGCTCACTTTCTGTCTACATCTTGTCTACTTGCTAATGACACCTGGTCTGGCCCCCACTGTGAGTCGGGCTTATAAATCCCACATAGAGGGACTGTGGTTGCAGCAGAGCTTAGATGTAACCAGATAATTTTCTGTGTCTGTTACCATGTTGTTGAACTTAGAGAAATTAAAAGAAGACCTTTCGACCTTTGATCAGGTCTTGACAAGTTCCTGCTTTTTGCCCGAAGGATGGACATCCGTCGTATCAGCTTCGACACAGAAGATCTGTCTGATGATGTCATCCCCTTGGCTGATGTGCGCAGTGCTGTGGCTCTGGATTGGGATGCAAAGGATGACTATGTCTACTGGACAGATGTTGGCACTGACTCCATTAGTCGGGCAAAATGGGATGGAACAGGCCAGGAGGTAATATGTTGTGAAGTGGAGAAGCACTGGACCAAAATGATTGTTAGTGAGAACCGGCGTTGTCTTTTTCTTGGTTTCGGGGGCTCTTTTTTCCCTTGGTGGAAACAGCTTATGAGACATAATTGGACTAACCTTAAAAACCCTGGACATTTTAAAACATAAATTAAAATCCATTAATTTTAACACTCTTTCTCAAACCATCCTTTCTGTGTGGCCTGCAGTTTACCATTGAAACAGTCAATTAGTGATTTGACTGATCATAGTTTGGCCTGTATCTATCTCTTAGATTTAGAGGTTCACTTAATTCTGAATCGACCTCTTCTAACCACTTCATTCCCTCCCCATAATGGAATGTTGCTAGTGCAAGTTTGCATTGCTGGGAGAGGCAAAATAAATTGGAAAGAGACAGCTCTTGCCTAAGATTCCTTCTTGTTTGTTTCTTGTTAGGTTGTGGTGGATAGCAGCCTGGAGAGTCCCGCTGGTCTGGCAATTGATTGGGGCACCAACAAGCTGTATTGGACTGATGCAGGTACTGAAGCCCACTGTCCTGGCAAGAGGGCACCTTCCAGTTATAAAAACTCATTAGTTGCTGGAATACTGCCTCAGGGGCCCATCCTAAGGATGCATGTTTGGAAGTTTGAATAATATCTTCTTACAGTCAGCAAGATGAGTGTTTTATAATAGACCATTCTCCTATGGGCAATAGACATGTAATGGTGTTTTACTAGAAATTCAAGAAATACATTTAATAATTTGGGAATGCCTAGCTTTCACCATAATCCTATACTGATTTACTCAGGCTGCTATATGCAATCACCTGAATTAAGCCTTTTCTCTGTTTTGCCATTTCAGTCTGTGGGATGAGGATTTCATCTTCAAATGCTTCCTCATTTGGGGCAATGAGAGAAAACTGCACAGAGAAAATAGCTTGTTTGGCTATTTCCCTGAGATATTGTTCTCCTCCTCCTCCCATAAAAGAGCATTCAGACCTTTCACTGAATGTTTTTGCTGTTCTTGAAGTGGCACAGTCAAAGGAAAGTTTTACTGTTTGATACTGCTGAATAGTAGAAATTTGCTCTGTGATTTTCTAGTTGCAGTGGAATTTGCTTAAAATGCTGATGAGTTGATCAAGGGTTTGTATAGCAATGGGATTCTGGACTGTGAAATATTTCTCAGGATTGTTGAACCTATCTGTTTGTCTGCAGTTCCTCTTGGCATTTTTACTGGGTTAAAGAAAATGGGAGTGGACTGGAAAGTGCACTTCTGAATGGATAGTTCTTTTTTTGTCCTTTCCTGGATTTTGTAGGCTTATATTCTCTCTGTCTCCACCTTCGCTTAATCTGTGCAGGAACAGACCGGATAGAGGTGTCCAACACTGATGGAACAATGCGAACTGTGCTGATATGGGAGAATCTGGACAGACCCAGAGATATTGTGGTGGATCCCATTGGAGGGTGAGTACATATCTTTTATGGAGAATGTATGCTCAGAATGCATACCTTGAGCTTCAGTTGTTTTACTGATCCACGGCATGGTCTGAGGATACATGATAGAGCCACCTTGCTGAATCTAAGCAGGTGAAGTTTTGGTCTATGCCTGGATGGGAGATCTCTGTGAAACTTCATTCAACTCTTGAGAGGGAAGAGAGACAGGACATAAATACTTTAAATACATAAGCTTGAAGAATCAATTTGGGTATGTGCTACTCTCCAAAAGTTGTTGATGCTTTATACAAAGCCATTCTCAGTATTGTGCCTTAATCTTTTTGCCACTTGGACTCTGATGTACTGCAGTCAGGTGGCTAAGTACAAGCAAGGCAATGCATTTTATTTTCTTGCAAGCAAAAGCTGCTGTGTCCATGGATAATTGAGGATATTCTAGCGAAATTTGTGAAATTCTGTACTTTCATATTGGTGGGGAAAAGTAAACCTTGTACATCTTGCTGGCTTTTTGGCTCTTTCTTTGTCTGGGATTGTAGAATAAGGAGCTGCAAACAGCTTTTTAGGAAAGTTGCATACACATGAACAGTTTGCTTGTGGAGGTTATTGAGAAAGAAAATGCTGAGATGAATAAGTGATAGTGGTTATGCCTTATTTTCTGGGGTTGTGTGCAGGTTCATGTACTGGACTGACTGGGGAGCTAGTCCAAAGATTGAGCGTGCAGGCATGGATGCCTCTGGTCGCTTGGTGATCATATCTTCCAACCTGACCTGGCCCAATGGATTGGCCATTGACTATGAGTCTCAGCGTCTGTACTGGGCAGATGCTGGCATGAAGACAATTGAGTACGCTGGCCTGGATGGTAGTGATAGGAAGGTAAGAAAGCTAAAGTGAAGTGAAGGTTTCTCGCATATGATCAATCAATAGGAGGCACATCCATTTATTTGGGGATAAAATATAAATGGTCACCATTTTGCCAGTGCACCTTGCTGTTGCTCTCCAAAAGAATTCAGCTGCTGTATTTGAAGAGACAAATGAACTTACTTCTGAGTGAAGATTCATGAGAAGTTGTGTAGGTGGGACCCCCTGCAGTTCTGCTTACTATTTTTTAATTATTATAATGATGTTCCATTTATAACCCACTTTTTTCTCTTGTAAGAAATTCAGGGTGACTTACATAGTTAAATTTTATTCTTACAACAACAGCCACCCTGTAAGATAGGTTAGGCTCAAAATGAATAACTGGCGCAAAGTAACCCAATGAGCTTCATGGTTGAGGGGGGAGTAAAACTGGATCTCCCAAATGCCCAGTCCAGCATTCTAACCACCATGCTGCACTGGTTCCTCATACTGACTAATCCCTTTGGTTGTCATTGCTAGGCCAATGTTGTTAAACCTTGATTATTTTTGACAGTTGCTTGATGGTATTCTTAGACATAAGCCTTGTAATTTCTCCTGGATTTTGCTTTTGGGGTGACAGGTGTTGATTGGAAGCAATCTGCCTCACCCATTTGGACTTACTCTTTATGGACCTCGAATCTACTGGACTGACTGGCAGGCAAAGAGCATCCAGAGTGCTGACAAAAGGACGGGGCAGGATCGTGAAACTCTGCAGGACAACTTGGAGAATCTTATGGACATCCATGTCTTTCATCGACACAGGCCTCCAGGTACACAGAGAGTTACTTTGTCAGGGATGTTCAATCCCTTGTTTCTGGGCACAGCCTACAGCTAGTGAGATTGTTCAGGTTTCATCTTCATGCTACATTCTGAAAGCATCCATTGTCCCAGGAGAAGGTCTGTCCTAAAGCTTATGTGATTTGACTCTTTTGTAATGACTTTCATGAGAAGCATCCCTGTACCCATCTAATGCCTATAGGATTTTGAAAATTGCTTCCCTTCTGGACTTGTCCTTGTAATGCATTGCCTTGTTCTTTTTCCTCTTTCAGTGCATACACCATGCAAAGTTAATAATGGTGGATGTAGTCATCTTTGCCTGCTGGCCCCTCTTCCTAAAGGTTACAGCTGCACTTGTCCCACTGGGATCAACCTACAGTCAGATGGCAAAACTTGTTTACCAGGTGGGTCTCCACTTTCTATGGGATCCTTTTTTCTGTTTGGTCCTTACATCACTTGGGTCTCTGAAGCTCGACATTTTACTTCTGGGAGACCTCAAAGTACAAATGCCTTTAGGAAATTTTATATTCAATTTACAGGAATGTGAAATGCATAAATTACTTTTTCACAGAATCGCAGAAGAGTAGAGTTGAAAGGGACCAAGGGGCCATTGGGTTCAACCCCCTGCTCAGTATAGGACTCCAAGTTAAATGATCCTTTTCAGATGGCTGTTCAGTTGCATCTTAGTCTTAACCATGTGGATATACCTGTAGTTTCATGCAAAGGTTTGTGCGTTCTGCACCCTAATGATCTGAACCTAATGGTTGCATGATGAACTATGATGAAGATTAAATGTTTAAACAAAAACTAGGTGCTAATGGAAAGATAATGTCAAGTTGAAAATTTATCTTGGTCCAAGGAAACCCAAATTCTGTAGTTAGAATAAATGGTGCAAATTTAGTATACTTGCATACATTTAGTTTGCATCATTATGCCTTAACATTTAGAAACTGGATGGAAAATAACTAACAGGAGCAAAGTGAAAAGTGCACAAGAGAGCAAGAGATAGTAGAAATGGCTGAATATCCAAAGGCATTAAAAAAACCCCAGTGTCTTCCAAGAACTGAAAGCCCTGCTCATCCTCTGGTTTCTTCTCAGATTTTAAAACTCATATGTTTCTAGGTTATTTCTTTGACATCCTATTACAATTAATATATATACTAAAAAGAAAGCTGTAGTTTTCTGGATGGCTAAAAGATAAACATCTTGGATTTTAAGGTTTTAGTACTGTAATTCTTATTTGAGTTCTTTCATTCCATGTCCCCTGTGGTCATGCTATTATGCTCTATAATAATCACTCTGACATCCTTAGTTGAAATTTATTCTTAGAATTTTTAATCTATCCCCCTTCCTTCCTTCCTTCCTTCCTTCCTTCCTTCCTTCCTTCCTTCTCCTGCTCTTATTGTAGTTGTACAGATCTTTGGTCTTCAAAGTTCTTATTGTTCAAACATAGCATTTATGAAATGATGCTCCTGAGACTGCTGGTTGAATGTCATTGTTTTCTCCTAATGTTGTCCTTTCCTTCAACTCTACAGGGATGACCAGCTTTCTAATCTTTGCTAGGAGGGCAGATATTCGCCTTGTTTCACTTGACATTCCATATTTTGCTGATGTCGTTGTCTCAGTCAATGTCACCATGAAAAACACCATTGCCATTGGAGTGGATCCTCAGGAAGGTTTGACATTTTATGTAATTTAGGGTGCAGTCCTATGCATGTTTACACCGAGAACAGGCCTACCACTTGCCCTAGCTGAGGCATGCTAGGAGTTGCTGGCCTTTTCTCTTGTCTAAAAATAGAATTTGTGCCTTTAAATTTTTTTAAGCATGGATTGGTTCAGAGCTAAGTGCTGACTTGTCAGTGAAGGCATGGTTACTACTTTTCAAAGAGAATGCTGCTGATGTCGCCCTTTCCACCCAAAACCTCTCCAGTATATATAATGATGACTGTGACCAACAAAGGTAGCTGAATCTCAGCTACAGTCTCACTGATGTTCCTCAGGGCTTTCAAAACACACAGCTGTAGGTGTTGCATTTCAAATGCTCGTAAGATTTGTTAGGGTTGTCTTGAGAAGTTGGGGCAAGCAAAACATTTATTTAGACCTCCCATTAAATCCACTTAAAAGTCTAGAAAATAAAAGCAATGCTACCTCACTGTGGCACATGGGATTTACTGAAGAAACACAAAACACAGGCAAAATGAACTATTTATTATTGGACAAAATGAACATGCAACATCTTGTGAGGGATATGTTCTTCATCAGAGCATGAGGGATTTGTTTAGGGATATTTCCATGCACTTTCTCCTTAGGAGAATATTTCTCTACTAATGACACACTATTCTGGTGTTTTTTCTGCCTTCTAAGATTTAGCAAATACTGGATGAATCTTTTTTAAGATTTTCTACTCCACAAGGCTATCTCAGGAGGAGGAGGAAAAAGAATGCACTCTTGGAATGGCAAAATTCAGTATCCTCCATGTTAGATTATGGTGTTTAACCTTGCTTTGCTGGCTTCACAAAATGGAGAAGATACAGAGAATAAATTAATGAATTGATCCATTTCCTATGAATCTGTATGTTACAAGGGATGTGTTTGTATAGCTTAGTACTAAAATATTATTAGATTTGAACTTAGATTCCAGGGGAGTTTTATTAACATTAAGGAGATGTTAATATTTCCTCATTAGGAAAGGTGTATTGGTCTGACAGCACTCTGAGGAAGATCAGTAGAGCTGCCCTGGATGGCTCCCAGTATGAAGATATCATCACTACAGGTAATGGATGCCTTGCCAGAATTCCTCACACTTTCTCTCAGCTGCATTCAGATAGACTATTCTGGATGATAGCAATCTTACTAGCACTGCCTCCTTTGCATTTACAAATGGAAAACCTAGGGCCAGAGGCAGTGAAACACCTAGTATATCCTGGGCTTACTTTTGAGGTATAATTTATTATTTCATTTATTTATATGCCGCTGTTCTGGATATAAATGTTTACCAAGGTGGCTTACAAGTAGCATAAAGTAATAAAATTACAATAAATTGTATTAACAGTTTTTTTAAAAGAAACTACCTTTGGGATCGTTCCTTCAGGACTATTGGGAGAGTCCAGTTGGAACAGGAGCAGTTGTCTGACATCATCCTCATCTTCCCACTGGTTCTTGGTGGTAGATGGTCCTGTAGAGAGGTGTCAAGTGAGGTGGAGGAAGTCCAGCTGGAGCAGATCCCACAGTCTTCTTTGCTTGATGCTGTTTCTTGGAATTCATACTTGGCAGTTGAAGGCCCTTTGTTGTTTGATGAACCACAAAAATAATGACATTGTTCTGACTATGCTTCTAGGCTTGCAAACCACAGATGGATTAGCAGTGGATGCTATTGGTCGCAAAGTATACTGGACGGATACAGGAACCAACAGGATTGAAGTGGGTAACCTGGATGGATCAATGAGGAAAGTTTTGGTATGGGAAAACCTGGACAGCCCAAGAGCAATTGCATTGTACCATGAGATGGGGTGAGTAGAATGTCTTTTTGTTCAAGAGAAAGACAGGTGATATGGGAATAAATAATAAGTTGTCTTTGCAATTAATTGCTTATTGGTGCCTTTTTTTATATAGATTCATGTATTGGACAGATTGGGGTGAGAATGCCAAGCTGGAACGAGCAGGAATGGATGGCTCCAACCGCATGGTCCTTATCAACAACAATTTGGGATGGCCAAATGGACTAGCTGTGGATAGGGCAGGATCGCAGCTACTCTGGGCTGATGCACATACTGAGGTTGGTATTTGAAGTGGAATTTGAAACTTGATGTCTGAATGAAATGATGGTGACAAAAGAAATTCTAGAGCCCTTGAGAATTAGGAATTAATTAGTTCCTTTATCATTAAGTGGCCTTGACATCTCTTGATGACTTCCATCTCTAAAACACCGGTCATGAATCTACCAGTCTTTATTGTTGCCTAAAATGGTCTCAAATACCAGTCAAGTTTGAATCAACAACAAGTTGCAGCATCTGTGGGTACCATGTGACATATGCAACCACTGCTGGGGAATTGTCATGTAGTACAATCCCAGTGAGTATAGGTTAAGCAGAGGTTAAGCAACCCTCACATAACCCTAAAATAAGACCAGGGGATACGTGAGGGTTGTGTAATCCTGCTTAACTCATGTACCACAGACTCACAGCACAACAATTCTCAAGCAGGATTTGCATATTATGGTGGCTGTACATGCTGCAGCCTCATCCTGGTTTAAGTAACCCAAACTGGGTTCTTGTAACATGTGAATAGTTCCAGTATGTTTGAGTGGAGACTGTTTGCATGCCTAAAAAGTAATCTGAGAAAAGACTTACTGTATGTACATTTGAGTCAGATTTGAGATTTAAGACAAGATAGCCTGGATTCATAATTTTCTGAGATTGTTTTCAGCGAATCCCATCTTTTTTATTCAGCGTATTGAGGCTGCAGATCTGAATGGTGCAAACCGCCACACCTTACTCTCTCCAGTGCAACATCCTTATGGTCTCACTCTTCTGGATTCTTACATCTACTGGACTGATTGGCAAACGCGCAGCATTCACAGAGCTGACAAGGATACTGGTGCCAATGTCATCTTGGTCCGGGCAAATCTGCCTGGTCTAATGGATATCCAGGCTATTGACAGGGGACGTCCTCTTGGTACGTTTTTAGATTTCCCTTCAAGCTGAAGATCCCAAATCTAGGCTATAAGAAGAGGAGAATGTGTGAGAAATTGCAGGGAGAGGAAACACAGCCTCCTCTTCTTTGCACTCCCATGCCCTCATGTTGACTTCCAGATAGTATCACTGCAGTGCTTTAAATCTTGAAATTGTTGGTGCTGTTGAGATGGTAAATGATAATGCAAAGATAATATTCTTTTCTAACTATCTTATTGATCACCTTCTTGGGAAGCTGACACAATTCTGATACTTAGTGAAGTTAGATTTTGCAGAACTTCCCTTGTTGAAGTCTCATCTTCCACTGGTCCCCTGACATCTCAAGGCTCTGCAGAAGTAATTGAAGTGTGCTGGACAGGACAGCCTTTAAAAAGCCTACAGAGATTAAAGCAGGTTGCTTGTGAATTAAGTTTTATGTAGCTGAACAGGAAATTACTGACGTAATCATCTTTGTTTCTTCTAAGGTGCTAACAAATGTGGCATGAGGAATGGTGGTTGCTCCCATCTTTGCTTACCAAACCCCGAAGGCTTCTCATGTGGCTGTCCTACTGGTATCCAGCTGAAGGCTGATGAGAGGACCTGTGATCCATCTCCTGAAACCTACCTGCTCTTCTCTAACCGGGGCTCCATCCGGCGGATCTCACTGGATACTAATGATCACACTGATGTCCATGTTCCTGTCCCAGAGCTGAACAATGTTATCTCTCTGGACTATGACAGTGTAGATGGCAAGATTTACTACACAGATGTCTTTTTAGATGTCATTAGGTAGGTTCATTGAGCTTTTTGTCTATGTGTGTGTCAGCTAGGTAAAACGTAATCCTTTTTACTGGTTAGTCGGCAATGAGAGATTTCAGGAGATGGAGTCTTTTCTCATTCTATGTAGTACCTGCTTTCTTCCAGACGAGCAGACCTGAACGGCAGCAATATGGAAACTGTTATTGGACAAGGACTGAAAACAACAGATGGTCTGGCTGTCGACTGGGTGGCTAGAAACTTGTACTGGACAGACACAGGTCGCAACACAATTGAAGTGGCAAGACTAGATGGCAGCTGTAGGAAAGTGCTAATTAATAACAGCCTGGATGAACCACGAGCAATTGCCGTCTTTCCCAGAAAGGGGTAAGCTTGCCACCAGCTGAAAACATGCATACAAAGTTAGCTTATAGAGGAAGCATCAAGTAGGATGGGAAGGGTCAAACCTAATTTTGGAGAACTCTTGGAGGTTGCATTTCAGTAATGGGCAGGGTCAAAGGCAAATAAGCTATGGCTAAAACATTAACAAGAAAAAACAGATTTTAGCTTGAAGGTCTCACTGCCAGTAACTAAACCTTAGGAAAGGCATTTCACTTTTTTGGGATGGAGGAATATGTACAAAAATCAGGAAACCCCCAAATGATTAGTAGTAAAGGAAAAGGCATGTGGTCAGAAAAGGGGTTGTAGCCCTCTATGGAATCATAGAGGGCCAAATCTTTCCTCCAGGATTTCACCCCAGGGCCTGAGGTTTCCTGTCCCTAGTAGAGAGGACAGAATATGGTAGAAGGTAGAAATGAGAGCATCGTTCCAAAATGTAGGTCTGCCTTGAAACTGTAGTTGCCTTTGAACTAATTACTTGGCAGAGCCCCTTAACAAACTCTGCTGCTCATTCTGCAAAGAACGGTGCCAGAGAGACGCGATAGCTTTTCCTTCTGTCTCCAGAAGAGATCAGCCTGGTGTAGGAACACCCTATGTGTGCGTGTGAGATTGTACATTTGGTTTCTTTACTTTCAGATATCTCTTCTGGACAGACTGGGGGCACATTGCTAAAATTGAGCGTGCGAACTTGGATGGTTCTGAGCGCAAGATACTGATCAATACAGATTTAGGATGGCCCAATGGGCTGACCTTGGATTATGACTTAAGAAGGTTTGTATCACACAACTTTTCAAAAATACTCTCTCTGGCTATATTTACAAGAATTTCCTCTTTCTGAGGCAGTTTGGCGCTGCTGGAATGCTCCAGTACATAACTGGGGGAAGGCGGGAAAACAGATCTCTAATGGGGTGGGAGGTTTTTGTGGGTGTCAATTTCACTTGCATCCATCTTGTTCTTCCAGGATTTACTGGGTTGATGCTCACCTGGATCGCATAGAGAGTGCTGATCTCAATGGGAAGCTGCGTCAGGTGCTGGTCAGCCAAGTGTTGCACCCCTTTGCTTTGACACAGGTACAAAGGCACTTGGCAGTACTGAATGCTGCACTCTGACTTTCATAGCAGGGCTCCCAAAGAAATAACAAGTTTGAATCTGCTGGGAGGTTGGGAGAAGATGGTTTGCTGTTTTCTCTTTCTTGGTTTGACTTCACAATGGGGAAAGGGCATTGCTTGAACTCCTGTGAACTAGCTTATGTTTCATTCCTATACAATTGGCATATTTTTCTAATCCTACTAATATTATATTTTTTTCTGAGCAGCAGGACAGGTGGCTCTATTGGACCGACTGGCAAACTAAATCTATCCAGCGAGTAGACAAATACTCTGGTCGAAATAAGGAAACTGTGTTAGCCAACGTTGAAGGACTTATGGATATCATTGTGGTCTCTCCTCAGAGGCAGACAGGTATATATGCAACACCCTGGGCTTCTTCACTGTGTACCCAAAGGCCAAGCGAATGCATGAATAGTACATACTCTAAAGCAGCCTTCTTAGCTCAGGACCCTTCAAAGGTGTTGAACCACAGCTCTCCTTATCCCCAGTCCATCATCTGGAGGACACCATGTTGGAGAAGGCTGCTCTAAATACACTCTGCAAAAAAGCCTAACGATACAGATAATCACATTTTCCAGTCTTCCACTTGGTGACTTGTTCAAATGTGCCTGTCAGTCCTAATAAAAGGGCCTAGCTGTCTTGGTTCTCAATGGCTCCCACTGAGTTCTAAGGGAGAGAGTAAATGGTCTGCTACCCAGTACACAACTGGTAAAGAGAAAAAACATGCTTCACACTCCATGTGCTGGGATTACTGGCGCAGGTTAGCTGCTATTCAGTGGTGTTGCCATGCTCTCCTTTACTTACTCTCATCTAAGTGGGTGACTGCCATTCTTTACAGTGGTGGTAAACTGCTAGACTTCGAGACTGTAGCATGCTATGGCGCAAATGCTGAAACCTGCCCATTGTACTTTCTCCCCTAAGGCAGAGGTGGGGATCATTGGTCTGCCAGATGTGGTTAGACTACACATGCCATTATATTTCACCATTGGCCATGCTGGATAGGGCTGATGAGAATTACAGTTCAGCTACATCTGGTGGGCTGTATGTAACCTAACCCTAAGGTCTTAGTCTGCCTGGCCTGATGTATTCTTGGCACTTTGCAGGTTCTCGAGTAAAGCTTTCCATCCCTATTTGTCGTTCTCTTTTTACTGGATTGCTGTAATCTTATGGGTGACAGGTTTTGCTCTAAGGCCTTTTGTTTGACTCTCAACTCATGTGTCCTGATGGAAAAGATGAATGTGATTAGGAAAAGAAATGGTTCTCTGTATCAAATGGCTTGTTTGTATCTCTTAGGCACAAATGCTTGTGGAGTGAATAATGGAGGATGTACCCATCTCTGCTTTGCCAGGGCGTCTGACTTTATTTGTGCATGTCCAGATGAGCCAGATGGGCAGCCATGTTCCACTGGTAAGTTGTTTGAATTTTAAACTTCCATGTGTGAATCACAGTCTCTGTTCCTTCTTGATGAGGATGGCTTTAAGTGGAGATGCTCTGTGCATTTAAATATCAGCTTCCAAAGACAGAACAGCATACTACAGAAAACCTCCTTGGCAAAAGTGCTCAGTGCACTGACATCTTTTTTTAATTTTCTTGTGAACTTGGCATCTCTCTTTGAAATTCCCTTTTGATCTCCAGGTGTGCCAGATGTACAATTTAGTACTCTAGGCTTTAGAAGAATAAATTTCAGAGTAGATTACTGTTTTGCATTGGCATTTCGTGTGCAGCAACTTCAAAAATGAACCTGGATTGAACATACAGCTTAAGGGATGCTTGCAGATTGATATGTGAGCACTCCAGTATTTTTAGCTGCTTCCTTACAAACTCAAACAGGAGTAGTTTACTTATTTCACAGGATTTGTTCCTTTTTTAATAGATTGCAAAAGGAATCTTACTGTCTTCTGCCATATCTGGGATTAATTTTTACATTTTTGAAAAATTGTGTTGGGTGTAAAGATCTCCCTGTCTTCAGGTTCTGTTTCCTTCTCCTTGCTGTAGTTCCTGGCACAGGCTACCCAGTTCCTGAGAGTACCCGTTCAGGCAAAAAGAATCCAACTCCTGCTGATAGACCCATCTCTTCAACTACCAAACCTCTCATATCCGTGGGAACAACACAAGGAAAGTGAGTGGCTTTGCTGATTTAAAATACAGTGGAAAAGTGTGCCCAGTTTCTCTTTCATAAACCCTTCTTCCTTGCCAAGCAAGAATGAAAATATCCAGTTCTGCATATCCTAAAAAGATATTTTGATTAGACACTTTGTCACTATGTCATCTCTTAATATGCTCCAGATAACCTATTACATCATTCTTCCCATATTGTGAGACATGCCACTTTCCTTGAAATATATTAGATGAGGTTAAAAATATCTTCAATGAGATTCAGGTGACACATTAAAACCTCTTCCAGAGAAGTTCTTGGGGGTCACATTCCATTATATTGTAGCTTCATGGTCTTGCTACCAGTCATTAAGTTTTTGGAGAGGCTTTTCAGTCTTTTAGAAGGGAAGAAGCTGCACACAAGCTGGAAAGCTGTCATATGATTTGTGGTTGGGAGGAAAAGCTGTGATTGTGTGGAGAAATGTAGAGCCAGACTGTGACCTCAGGAGAGCAGGATCTTTGAACCTCCGCTTCCCCATGCTTAGCCTATATCTAAGGCTAGCCTATATTTGGGATGTCTTCTTTTCTTTACACCAACCCAGAAGGAACCAGATTGGTCTAATCTGCTTCTGTTCATCACAGCTTGGTTCAGTTTGATAGGGTAACTGGCTTTCCTAAAACTGACTTTTTATTCCTTCTTTTATTGTGTAGTTGTTCAGACAAAAAGATTGGCCAAGACTTGTGCAACCGAGCAAATGAAGCTGTGCTGGCAACCACAGGTAAATTTTTCATTACCCTTCACTATTTGGAATATTGAAGACTCACAAAGACAGGAATGTGGATACAAGTTTATAGATTTATTTTGGCTCATGGCAAAAAGTTGCATGTTTACATGGTTGCTTACATGCAACTCAAGTTTGTGATGGCTCTGTACCCTTCTCAAACGTTGCCATGGCACAGTAAATCAGAACATGTGAGAAAGCAGTATTGATGTACGGTTCTGTAGTGACTCCAAATACAACATGCATCTTCTGTTCTGATAGCTATATGCTACCTCCAGTTCCTGGGAACTTGAGCAGGAGGGTGCTGTTGAGCTCATGGAGGTTTCCTGTGGGAAGCTGGCCGGCCGGCCACTGTGAATGCTGGATGAAATGGAACATTGTCCAGTATCACATGGCTTTTCTTATGGCTTTGTGCTTTGAGCCCTCATTCGGTGAGAATCATATTTCAGTAACTTCCTGAGAAATGCAAATCAGTCTTTCCCTGATGAAATACATTGGAGCAATTTTTAGAACAGTACCAGGATACTTAATGAGAGCAAATGGAAATTGGTACATTTGAACTTAGATGAGATGTTTAAAGCAGGTTGCAATAATAACTGGTTCAAATTAATTTTAGATATTTAAAAAGTGTATACTGACACAAGATAATTTTATTCTGCATTTATATAAGTACAATCTGAACAGAAGGAAAGTTCCCTTGGTTGGAAATACTTATATAGTAAACGTTAAAAAATACTGCTAACATTCTTGTTCCCTTTACTGACATTACCTCTTATAATCAAATTCAGTTTAGTTTCAACAAATGTGGAACTGCCCCCCCCCCCGATTTATATCCTGCCTTTTTCCTACAAAGGGCTCAAGGCAGCTTATATCTCCTCCTCCATCTTATCCCCACAACAACAACCCTGTGAGGTAGGTTGGGCTGAGAGTCTGTGACTGGCCCAAAGTCACCCAGTTGGCTCCATGACTGAATGGTGACTAGAACCCAGATCATCTGAGCCCCAGTCCCATGCTCTTAACCACTACACCACACTGGCTTTTAATATTTAAGATTGTTTTATTCCGCTCTTTAGTCAAAGAAGCTCTCAGTTCAGTTTGCATATACTCAGTAAAAGATGGCAGTTCCTGCCTACAGACATGCAATCTAAAAAAGACACAACACATGAAAAGAAAAGGTGGGGAGAGAGGCAGGGGGAAACAAGCCCTTCAGCAAGACTGGTAGAATAGCCTTGCTTCCCACTGTCATTGCCCTCAATATGGCCTGTTGGGATGGCTAGCTGTGCTGGCAGCTGAGTTAAGAGGCTGGTCAAGGAAGTCTCAAGAGTACCATGTAAGGTATTGTATAAATGGCAGAGTTATTTCATAAAATTTGCATAAAAATGAATCACATAATTGTTCCTGACTATTTTTTCAGTATTTGCAAATTGGGAATCAGTTGCAGGAACAGCAGGGGAAATTTCATCTGACAGGAAACTTGACAATATGAGAATAGTCTCATTATTTGCAAAAGTTTTTAACCTGTAATAAATTAGGTATACAGATTAATGGTACAAAGATAAATGGAATTTCAAGCTCACTGTGAATACAAAGAAGGGCCAAGGACTCCCCAGAGGACTGCACAAATCATTGTATCAGTGTATGGCATTCCATTCAGAATTAGGAAAATGCTTTGAAATAGTTTGGGTATTTGTAGGAGAAGTAATTAGGCCAATGCAGATTTTCTGAATGTTTTGACAATATTTAAAGCTCTTTTTGAGCCAGCCTGTTAGACTAGTAGAAGCCTATATAGAGTAAGGCAGTCAGCTTACGTAAATAATAGTGAAGTCCAATTCTTCAGACAGTGGAGGTTTCTGACATCTGAAGACAGGCAGGCCAGGTGGGCATAGTGACAAACTATTAGATCCTTTAAAAAAACACTTAATGGTCCTCTCTTGGACAATCTATTTTCCTTACCTCTTGATGGAGGAGATAGGCAACAGGGAGTTTTGTGGCTCCATGTCCTCCCTTCCCTCTGCCAGGAACCAGTGTGAAGCTTTCTGTGGTGGGGAAATGGAGGGAGGGACACATGGATTCCCTCCTTCTCAGGTTATAGCAGCAGCGGGGGAGGGGGCACATCATCCTATGGTTTGTAGAATGCCCTCTATGAACCATAGGATTGCTTTCTAACTCGACATCCTACAAACCTCTCTCAGAACAGACAAGATGCTCCTGGCCTGGTCAGTGGAGATCATTCATTATATATCAGAAGTGTAACAACAAATACTGTCCTTAATGTCATGGTTTTTGTTAAAGTGTTGTTTGCATATCTTGAATGTTTTGTGGTATGTTTAAATACTTTAATAAAATACAGTAGTTACAAACATACAGCATACACATATTTTACAAAGGTGCACATTTCTATGGAATGGCTTCATTATCCTTTATTGAAACTTCTGCCTTCTTTCAGGAGAAGGTCTACATGTCAGTTATATTATTGGAGGCCTTCTCAGCATATTGATCATTCTGCTGTTAATTGGTGCTGTGATTATTTACAGGTAATTTCCTTACCTTCTTTCCATCTTTTGTAATTTAGAATTCATCCTTGGGTTAGAACAATTTGAATGAAGACCAGACTTTACCAGTTGTAGTTAAAAATGCCTAAATTAGAGTAATTTCTAGGCCAAGTCACAGTTGTCTGCAAAAGCAATATGCGTAGTTGAGACCAACTGGAGTTAAGAAGCGAATTTTTCATGATGTACAATAAAAGCTGAGGTGCTAATGATTCTGAATTATAGTTCTTAATGCTGGAAAATGCTGGGCTTGCTTACATGGTAGAATGAAGAACAATAGATGCTCAGGTTCATTTTCCTCTTCTAGAATGGGTTGACTCATCCGACTATGGTATATGTTGCCTAGAAAACATACATAAGAGTGTAGTGAAAATTACACATGCTTTGGTTTCGATCTTGCATATTGGATCTCTGAACATCCAGAGGAGATCTGAAGAGGATCTTGTTTGTCAATGAAATTGGCCCTGATTTTTCCTCATTGCCACAAATGAAAAGAGCTGTTACCTCTTTGCACTCATGTGCTAATGAGTGAACTGGCAGCTGAAGGGATGCGTCATATCTGATGACCTTTTGGGCAAGGTGAGGTTGTGTTTAGTAAAGGAAATGTCTGAATTGTCATTTTTCTGGTGGTCTGGGATGGTGCTTCAGCTATAGAGCCTCCTGTGATTACTGAGGTAATTTATTAATTATTGTGTACCTGCAGGCACAAGAAGTCCAAGTTCACAGATCCTACCCTAAATAACCTTACCTACAGCAACCCTTCTTATCGGACATCTACACAAGAGGTGAAGATTGAAACAATTCCCAAGCCACCCATGTATAACCAGCTGTGCTTTAAGAAGGAGGTAAAGGGAGTGCTTCCAGAACTTGAATTAACTGTGACAAGCGACAATAAGCTAATTAATGTGCCTTAGTCCTAGACAAATTAATCTCAGCTGCCCTAAAAACAGTCTCACCTTTACCTCACTATTGAAACTCTACTGATACGGCTCATATACATTAACCAGAAATGTTGTTTACTGTATATTGGACACAAATGCATAAGCCTCCAATTTCATCTGGTGTCCAGAGGAACTGAGGATGACATTCTTGGGTTTACATTCCAGTGGCCTGTGTGATGTAATTCAGTTAGTGTGAGTAGAATTGTGGTAGAAGAATATGTCTGTGCCTTGCACAAATTACCAGTGGTGGGTGGGGAGACCTAGGGCTGCCCAATTTGGTAGAAGCCTCTATATTGGACTCTAGGTGGTGAAGGACAAGTAATTGGCCATGATAGCACTTAGTGTCTCCTCTGTCTTTCCTCCTCAGCATCTTTCCCACCCCTCTGATAGCCTTTCACCATTCCTCTTTTGAACTGCCCACAGCCTCACAATCAGGTATCACAGCTCTGTGTTTGTGCAACCTCCACCTTCCTTATTCCTGAAGCTGTACTTGCTACCCAATTGACTTTTCCTGTATGTATGTGCCTTTGAAACAGTTTTGCTGCATTTGTCTGCTAGGAAAGAAGAGAGTCTTTTTTCATGAAGACTCTTCAATATTTGCCCTGGTTAAGTACCTTTATACTCTAAAAAAATCTGCATACCCCATATGTATGCAGGATGTAATCAGCCAAGGAGGGCCTTCTAACAGTGGCAAAGCAGAATGGTTGCTTAAAGAAAGTCTTCATTGTCTTAGAAGAGAACACTCTCTCCTCTCCTTTCTGTCAAACACATTTGCATCTCAATGATTTTATGAATGATTTCCCTGACGATTTTAAAAACATTACTGATATGATAAATCTGTGTTTGCTTTCCTTAACTTCAGTGTCTCTGCCTTTCCAACCCTTTTCATGTTGCATTAATCAAGTTTGGCTTTTTGTGTCCTACCCAACCATTTGATAATCTTTCTCACTGCTTCAACTGCCTGTCTTCTGTTTGTGCTTAGAGCACAGAAGGCTACAAAGGAGGGAAAACATTTATGCCTTTGCATTCTTGTCCTCTAATTTGTACTGGTCTTTTTGAAGCTGGAACTTAGGCAATCTCCTAGTTGAATGATTGTTTCTAACAGTGATTCTCTGTTTTTTTATTTTGCATTTCAAGATCTTGAGAGATAGTCCCCCTACCTGCTGTTTTAATATGTTCAGCAGCATTATCCTCCCTTTTCATCAGTTCAGGGAATGTACAATTTTCTGTGGAATTTCTAGTTGCAGCTGATCAGCTAGAAAAAGCTAAGCATCTAGGTATTATTTCAAACTTGGAGGCATTGAGGAGTTAGGTAAATTTGTGAAGGATGCTTTACCATTCTTCTGTTCAACTATAACTTGCTGAGACAAAATATGTGCTTGCTGTTCCACCTGTGATCTTCAGTTATTTGCTGCCTTAACATTTCAGTTTGCTCATTCTTGGGATATGAATTACAGTGTAAGGGCCTGAAAGCTTTTTCCTCTTAGCCCTGGACAGTTTGGCTAATGATCCTCCCACTGTACTCAGTATGACCATCATAAATGGAAGGGATTGGTTACTTGGGCCATCCAGAGCAATTTCTTCTGTGAGTACTTCCTGTTTTATCTCACACTGCAAGTCTGGAGAACTTGGATGAGCCTTCTCCAACCTGCTGCCCTCCAGATATGGAGTTGTAATTCAGCGCATCTGGAGAGCACCAAACCAGAGAGGGAAAGTCTGCCTTGGATGGAAATGTACAGATTCCTTCCCACAAGTAGGGGCTGCAGTTTTTATGACCTTAAAGGCCTTTCAGAGTGTGTGATGCAGCTTTATTCACATGGTAGGACTCAGCCTTTCATGGTTTCTTCCTGACTTTTTGTTTTTGTTTCTGATTTGTTCTTCAGCTTTGTCCACCTCATGTTGTTGTCTCTGTCTGTAGGCTGGCCCTGATCATACCTACACCAAGGAAAAGATCAAGATTGTAGAAGGAATATGCCTCTTGTCCAGTGATGAATCTGAATGGGATGATCTTAAACAGATACGGAGCTCTCGTGGATGTATTCTCCGTGACCATGTCTGCATGAAGACTGATACAGTCTCTATCCAAGCCAGTTCTGGCTCACTGGATGACACTGAGACAGAGCAACTGTTGCAGGAAGAACAGTCAGAATGCAGCAGCATCAATGCAGCAGCTACTCCTGAGCGTCGGGGCTCCCTTCTAGACACAGGGTGGAAGCACGAACGCAAACCCTCAACAGAGAGTGAAGTCTAAAGCACACACAACACTTGTCCCTCTCCTCTGTCATCCTTCGCACTGATGAGATAGGATCCTGCCTGCTACTCAAGAAGGAACTTGAAAATTAGCTTCTGTGTCACATGAAGCCCAGAGACTGTCTTTGATGAGGAGCCTGAGCTAGCCTGTGCCTTAGTGGCGGATGGGCAGAGACCTTTTGTCTCATTGTTAGTTGATGTTTATTTATATGTCTCTTCTTCCAAGAAGCTGTGGTGCTGAATTCAGCAGCAGCTTTTTTCAGCTGCATCTGACACAGCTTTATCCAATCTAGTGCACAAACTAGCCAAGGACTCTGCACCACCACTGACCAGAGTTTCTGAACTACTCACTCCTGATACCTTGTTGCCTTTCTTTAGAGGCTCTTGGCACTAACTGGATTTTGCACTGCACTCTTTCTACCTTAAGGTGAAAAGGTTGGGGCCAGTGAAGGTGCCTGACATGAAAATGGTGATGTGAGAACAGGTCACTTTTCAGATACTTGTGCGGGGAGAGCAAAGGCAGCTGCAGTCTCATTGCACAGGGGCACTAAAAATATCACTGCCTTCTTTTCAAGCTGTGGGAAACCACTGCTAAATCCAGCATAGAGTGTAAGGAATCCAAGGGGTAAAGCACTCAGTCTGTTGCTGGCAACAGACAATGTTCCTGCTGCGCTAGATGTTCACTCTTGTCCTAAAACATACTTTTTTTGCAAATAGAACATATGCATCTGTTCCCTGGGGGGACTGATTTTTATTTTTAATGCGCTTCCCATTAACTATGACTTGCAAGGAAAGTGCTGGGTGCAATGGTATTGTATCATACTTCTTTGTTAGTTCTTTTGATAGGCCAAACCTCTGAAAACGTGTGCTACTGAAAACAATATTAGCCTGTGGAACAACAAGTGGGCAATGCATTTTTTAAAACAATGGAATAGACTTGGACAGGAGATATATTCAAACTCCAGCTCCAACATGCTGCTGGATAAACCCAATGGGGGATTTTTCCTAAGCCTTTTTTGCCAGTGTTTCTCTTCGGAAGTTCTGGAAGGAAGGATTTGCTTGCACCTTCTTCTCATTTCTGCTGTATGGCTTGAGCAGTGAAAGCATGGTGTCAAAAACTGGGTGTGTGCAATCAATAGATAATGAATGTGCATGGAAGGGGGGAAGCAGACAGGTGACAGGTAATAAGTTAGGAAGCACACTTCCACTCATGTTCAGTACATTTAAGGAGTTCCTTTTGTCCTTGGTGCAACTAGGTCACTATTTCCATGCTATGAAAGAGAGATCCAAGGCTGAGTAATTGCCTTTTTGGAACAGGTGATTTATAGAGAGAGGTTCATGCAACATAGTTGTTACAAATAGTCCAGAGAGTATTTGGCAAGATGGCACTTACATTGCAGAGAAAGCTTTTCCAGAGCTATTCATCACGTTATTTATTCTCTGGGAATGTATTATCTGGCATGATCCATCACCCCAGTCCTGCAAGTGCCTCTCTTTTGGTTAGTGAGTGATACATATGACTGAAGTTGTGTTTTGTGACTGTCTGTGACATCACTGATGATGAGGACACATTCTATCCAAGTGCCTATATGATTTTGTCATTTGAAATAGGGAAGCAGCAAGTACAGTGGTACCCTGGCTCACGAACTTAATCCATTCCAGAACTCTGGTCGTGACCCAAATTGGTTGTGAGCCAAGTCAAATTTCCCCATAAGGTTCAATGTAAATAAGCTTAATCTGTTTTGTAACTATTTTTTAATCACAAAAATTTGAAGCAAAGTGACAACAAAGATCGGGGCCATCTCCCCCCACCACCCCAAGCACAACTGCGATCAGGCCCATCATCCCTGCACCAGCACGACCACAATCGTAGCCGTAGGCGTGCGCGATTGCAGGCAGGGGAGATGGGCATGATTGCCGACGCACTGGTGGGGAGACGGGCGCGCTCAGGGAGAGGTGCCCGTGATCGTAACCCAGTGTGGAGTTCACAACCAGAGGCAAATTTTTTCAGAAATTTCTGTTTGCTACCTGATTTGATCGTGAACTGAGGCATTCGTGAGCTGAGGTACCACTGTATTTAAGTTGTGGTCATGGGCTCATTCTCTTGTTTAGTTCTAAAGTGTCCCCATTTGATTATTTTTAATCCTTCAGAGCAATACAACAGTGGAACCAGCTTCCTAGAGAGGTGGTGGGCTCTCCCACACTAGAGACTTTCAAAAAGAAACTGGACAGCCATCTGAGTGGGATGCTGTAACATGGTGTCTTGCAACAGCAGGGGATTGGACCTGATGGCCTTCATGGCCCTTCCCAACTCTACTATTCTATGATTCTGTGATTCACTCTTTAAATGTAATTTGAGGTTGTTATTCCATTTCCACAATGGGAACTTACTTTCCCCCCATGATGTCTTGTAGCTTTTGTTCTGCAACAAGCCTGTTCACAAGGAAAGTGGTTTTACACACTTAACCTAAAACTATAATGTACATCTGCAACCAATAGATAGTTTCTTTCCCATGTGTTCCTGCACCAGAAAGCTTGGATTGGCCATGGCAGTTGTACAATTTCAACTGCCTTTGCTTGCTGCTTGTGTGAGAGTGTGTGTGTGTGAGAGAGAGAGAGAGAGTTTTAAGTAGCTCACTCATTTCACAGAAATCTGCTTGTCCTAATTTGTCCACAATTCACATCCAATCTGCCATGCTTCTGCTAGTTTCCTTTACCATCAGCATCCTTGCCTCATCTTCTCTGCTATTTCTACAATGTTAATTTAAATTTTCTGGTGGATTTCCCCCCCTAAACACTGGGCATAAATGCAGATGCTCACCGTTCTCAAGAAGGAAAGACAGATGCTGGAGCAGCAGGCACACAACATAGCCTTAAAACAGCCAGTCTTAGAACAAAGGTAGCTTGCCTGACAATTTTGTTAACCCTAACCTTTCTCATGTAACTATCAGGAAAACCCTCTTACTTTTTAAAGAAAGCTGTTAATTAGAATCTATTATTTGTGTTTAAAAACACATACACACAAACTTCAATTTCTGAGTTGCATAACAAAATCAGCTAGTGCTTAAATGTTTCTGTACTTTGAGTAGATCTTTGCAGTATATGTCAATATTCTTCCATCAAAGGCCCACTAATCTTGGTTGGCCCATCTCAGAACTGTGTCAGGCCGTTAGATACTACTACTGTTCTGCCATTTTTGCACACTCTCTTAGAGCAATCACTGTGTTTGCTTTCCTGGCTACCTTAAGTCTTGACTCTCATAGCTCCATAACTAACAAATGCTCCTATCTCAGTGTGTACTGAGATATACTCTCTTTACATGCTTAACTTTGCAGGGGGCAGGAGTTAGAGATGCTTTTGGCCATCCAGTTGAAAACTGGCACTCAGTAAGTTACAGCAATACAAATGTGGTACCTTTAAATCCAAATTGAATGGAAGGTAGTCCCTGTGATTCAATGAAAATATGTATGGAGTGGCTACAAGCACATGGCAGACTGCAGAAAAACCTCCGTATTGTTAGCACTTAAATATCCCATTTGCTTCTAAGGCATTCTTGTATGGATGTTAGTGCATAATAATCCTGTGAAGTAGGTTAGGTTGAAGGATGATGTCTGTTCCAAAGTCACTAAATTTTATGGTTGAATGGAAATTTGAATCCAGGTGTCCTGGCCCAGGTCTAACATCCTGTCCATTACACCACTAATTCACTCTGGATTTGGGGGAGCCATCACATGACTGCTTTCTGCATGTGAGTTGGAACTTAAATCTGAGGTGGGCTTTAGTGGAGGGTCGTCTTCTCAAAGCAGTTTGTGTTGCTAACTCTCTGGGCCTCACCATGTAAGTTTGCATAGTTTTAGCCACATGTATAACTGCATCCTGTCCTTCACATGTAACTCACATGGGAAATGTCAGTGTGACCAGCTGCAGTGATTTCCATGGTCTCAGTACCTGGAAAAAATGCTGCCTTTCTTGCAGAAGTTCCTGTATTACCATTGTACAGGATGGTTCATGCCAAGAGGATGGTCTGTAGCCACTTGCATCTCAACTGTGAGAACCATGTTTTCCTCCTCCTCACTCTATTTTCATTCATGGATGTAAACGTAAGAAAATATTATTTTTTTCTTGTTACTGCATTGCATTTATATCCTGTCCTTTTTCCTCTTGTGAGGAACCCAAGGTGGCTTACATGGCTCCATTTTTATCCTAACAACTCTGTGAGGTAGGTTAGGCTGAGAGTGACTGACTGATCCAAAGGCATCCAGCAAACTTCATGGCTGAATGGGGACAAGAACCTGGATCTCCCAGAGTCCAACTCCATTACCACACTCTCTCTCATCCTCCAAACAAGCCTGGATTGTAATAATGCCCTTTCTAGAAAGGCTGATTTTCATTTTGTTTTCTATTTTAATAGAGAATTGGGAAGAAGTACAGTAATTGTACAGTAATCAGCTCTACCCTCATATTTCCTGAGGTGGTGGTAAATTAAGTGCAACACAGGAGAGAGTAGGTGGTGTGCTCAGGGTTGGAAAACCTTAGGCCTATGGGCCTAATATGGGCCTTTTGAATTTGCATTCCTTAAATGGTTACTGATTGTTTGGTGGTGTCACAGCTCCGATGCTTTTTTCCCCCACTTTAAAAGTTTGAAATGCCTCTGCTAAGACCAAGTTACTGGTAGTAACAGCATTAAGTTAAAATAGGCTGGCATTTTAACTTGCACATTTCCCTTTGGCCTCAATTGCCACTGCAGTATTGTTCTCCAAGAGTTTCTCTGAAATTGAATTCAGGCCTTGGGCTGACAACAATTCTTTGCCCATGTTCTATTGCCACTTATTTTCTCATTTGCAAATATCCCCCAGGTACAATTCTTCCCTGAGCACAGGCCTTGTCTGATTTTGCAGCATGATTGGAGCAGAAACATTACAAATTACGCTTGGGCATTTATGAGCAGAACATATGGTTAACATCTAGACCAATCTTTTTGTCAAAGATTGGGGTACCTTGTGGATGTGAATGCTCCCCATAATTTTCCACTGAGTTACTGTTTTTCTCCTTTCCAGTAATCTTTCACCCCATGGCTTCAGATAAAAAATCTATTTAGCCATCATTGTATGTAAACCCCTAAACGTGAGAAGACTGCATGTGGATGAGATCACTAGCTCCACCCTGTTTCACTTGCCATTCCCATCAGGCTCTACATGTAGAAAGCAGTTGTTGGAGAGCCTCGTCTCTCAAAATTTTTACAATCCAGGAAAACCAGGGCTTATTTATATGTTGTTTACTTTCAAGTATTATTAGTTTTGAAAAAGAAAGCTGCATAGACAAATGAGACTAGCTATATACTGGTGCATTTCATGGTATAGAAGGTTAATAATTGGATTGCCCAACACTGGTTAATGTGCATTCCTATGAAATTTGGTTAGGATTGGGGCATGGACCTGTCTTTATATTATTTCACATTTCCTCTATGTCTCCTGAAGGGGAAAAAATAGATTGTAATTTATTTATTTAGGGGGCTCCAACCTTCTGTGGTCTTGACTGCTGAAAAGTCCTTAGATTAATGGATGAGGAAACCAAGTCTCAGCAAAGGTATATGGGTATAGGTTCTGTTGCTGAAAACATGGAGAAAAACAGGCATTTGGGGAAAGCGTTTAGGAAAAATGAAGCCAGGCTTCTGACATCCAAAGCAGGCAGTTGCATTTAGAATATATCTTACTAAAAGTGGAGGCTGGGAAATAAGGTGACTTCAGACGCTCAGTGGATCATAGACATAGCTTCTGCTGTGGAGGGCTATTACTTTCAGCCCAGCTACTTTTAATAACCCCCACTTGAAAGCACTTGCCTTGTCTTGGCAAGGAGGTTTACTATTGCACATTCCAGTCTTGAGACTATGTATTGATCTGCTTTTTCAAAACCTGATTCCTCCATTCCACCACCAGTGGTAATTCTCATAGCTGCAGGGGACTGGAAGAATGGCACCTATGACTTTAGTTTCACATGTGAAGTAAGCAAAGATGAAATCCTCTATTTGCATGTAAACAAGCAAATTTGGACCAAGGCTGCTGGTTACAGAGCTCTTCACTTGCATGCTGAAGAAGCAAAGTCTCATTGCACTGGGACTTCAAAGAAGGGGAAAGGCTAGAAGTGGGGACAATCTTTTGAGCACTGATCTACTGTGTAAAAAGCTATTTTTTTTTTCTCTCCTGTCTTTCCTGAGCTAATGGCAGCAATTTCCCTGCATTCCTGTGTAATGGTTTTAATGTTACTCACTGGAGAGATTGATTTTTATTTTCTGGTGTTATTTAACCACTATGTTCAGTATTTTAGGGAATAATGATAATTTAATATAAAATTTAGCTTTTCTTAATCACTCTGCTGGCCTTTTGAGTTGTGAATCAGTGTGACCCAAGCCTGCTTCCTGAACAAACAGAACCCATAAAAACTCATCTGAAGCTACAACTCAATTGGGAGTATTGTGAAAGCAGAAGAATGGCAATTCACTGATGGGACTAATACATATTCATGGTTTAGTATCAAACTTTTCTGAAGCTCAAATCAGTGGGGTTTTGGCTTTCTTGTGAAATGAACTTAACACTGCACATGATCTGACCTTAGACAACATGAAGCTCAGAGATTTTTGCATTTTCCATGCTGGCAATTGAAATGTTGAAAAATGTGTTATTTGTTAGAAAGTACGTTCTTCTGCAACCTGTTCCACTCTGTAAGCGATCACTGTGTTTATCTTTTAGTTCACAGGGTTTTTCTATTCTTGATACACCAGATCTCAAACGTGTGAGTTATTTATGAAACCAAGTAGAAAGTTTCCACTGCTTTACTATACATCTAAATGAAGCAGATCACAATAATGGAAAACATTAAATGAGTTGTTAAAAATAAAATGAGACTAATGGCAAAAACACCTTATAATTGAACTAAATACAACATTAGTCCAATTTAAGAATAATGTAACATTTCTAGCTTGATTATCAATTAATGTACAGCCCTATGAATTTCACTAACATTCATTGCTACCCGATGAACAACTGGGTTTGTTGGTGTTTTTGAGCAGTAATGTTTAGAAGTGATTGACCATTTATGGTCAATTTGTTTAATAGATAGACCTACAAATTCAGCACTCAAACTGTAAATACTGAGTTCATCTCACTTGGAATATCAGGTTTCCCCAACTGGCACAGACTAATTTTGTGGGATTAATGGCAACTGTGTTACATATTTTGTGCCAGGAAGTTTGCCCATTTCACAGAGGGAACATGGACAAGTACTGCTTTTGATGTATTTATAAAGACAGTTCATAAAGTAATAAAGACAGCAGCATTGAGGGGTATGTTATTCCCAGGAACCTCAAGGAATAACAGTCCTGAAAGTGAAGAACTAAAAAACCAAATCCCTAGATGGGTTTTCTTCAGAGCTGGTTCAAATAAGCTAAAAGTTAACCTTTTTCAACCTAGCACCCTTCAGATATGCTAAGAGTGCTACTCCCATAATACTAAGACAGCCAGAGAGTGCCAGATTGTTTAAGTCACCACCTTCTTGGTTTGTAATTTGGGACTTAAAGGAAATATTTGGTAGGGAACCAGCTCTACTGGGGAGGAATTTTCTGAATGGGCATCTGCTTCTGGCTAGACTTAATTGACTCCCTAAGTGGGGTGACTTTTCTTTTAGTAGTGCACTTTTTGCTTTAGACCATTCTTGCTTGTCCTGATGGAAAAGGGCCAGTTTATCTAGGACCAGAAGCACCACTCTGCAACCCTTCCCCTGCCTTCACCACCTCCTGCCAACAGTTGCAGCTGTTTTTCAGCAAACTGTGTAGAGTCAGACTTCTGTGGAGCTGCACATAGCTTGGCTCAGCTCAGAAGCCTGCCGTTCTAAAGTTGCAAAACTACAGCTGCATCCCTTAGCATTCACACCCTTTGCCCAAAAACAGATTAAGGCTTCTTCTCTACATCTAATGATGGGTCATCTTTGTCCTTGACATAATTTGCCTATTATGCCTTGCACCCCTGGTTTCATAAGTGTAGACAAAGAATCAATTTTGCCCAAAGTTCAAGTAGGATGCGGGTAAAGCAGCTGTGGACCTCAGACACAGTGACAGCCAAAACTGCTTTGCTTCTCAGTGGGGCACATTTCACCTTCAGAACATAGTCTAAAATATATTTTCAGCACTTAACACATCAACCAACATCATTCCCAGTGTTCCTCCATTCTAGATTCATGTGTTTCCTTCCAACAAGGCAACATACAAAATGGCAGGATAGCTAATTTTCAGCTAAGAAATAGCTGAATATGTGCCCCAGGCACAATAAAGTGGTTATTGCCCTGGAGGAAAGATACCAGGAACAACTAGCACTAACAACACATTCATATAGTATGTAACAGCAATCCTTAATCCTGCAGTTGCCTATCTGAGGGGCTGGGATGGGGTGAAAAGGAACGTTTCCCGGCACTGGGGGAAGGGGATGAGGTCTACTCTAGAGACCCTGGATACACTTGTACAAAACTCCATTGCCTTAAATCTATGAAGGCAGTAACCATCAGTAAGCCCTTAAAAGGAAACTAACTGGAGGAGAACATTCTTAAAAAGGTAAGTCCATCCCAACTCCACTGCCTAAGACAGCAGGGTCTTCAAGGTGATGGAAGATGCTGCCACTTTGTTCCCCATCCCCTTTAGCTTGCTTTATATACTATCACAGATCCATAACACAAAAAACTGGCACTAACATTCTCATACAAAAGGAGCTTTGCAGAAGTCGTTAACAAAAGACACCCATGAAATTAGATTATCAGCTATTGGGAAAATAGAATGCTAAGAAGTTGCTTCCAAACTGAATCCTGCCTTCCCAACTATACTCCCCAGGTGGTTCTTACTGCTTGTGGACACTACTCATGTGGTCTGTTCTTTCACACTGACACTGGAGGATGGAATTTGAACATGTTACATTCCCATCTCTGGCACTGCCTGTTCAGTTGTAATTTTCTCAGACCCAGATGTGGTCCAGTTCTCACTAGCCTCTTGGCTTATTTAGGGGCATGTCAGCCTCAGCATTTCAAGTAAGAATTCTAACTCTGCTTCTTGTTCCAGTTCAGATTTAGATTTCAAGGTGTAACAAACTACTTGGAATGCTGTATTTTGGAAGAAGTGAGCCCTGTCTTTACAGGTACCACATAACAGAATTCACAGAGCGCAAACTACATGGTAACTACTTTGTAAAAATAGCCTCTTGTCTTCTTCCTGGAGATCTTAAAGATAAGAGTGGAAGATTTATTAAAATGATTTAGCTTGGCTTTTCCCATCCACACACATGACCTTCAGGTCTTACTTATTCTTGTGTAGCTGCAGGAGGAGTGCTTGTATCATCAGCCTTTTACTAATTATGATTAATAAATTAGTTACTGAGTTTCAAAACACTTGACACGTTTTCTACCTTCCCCTTGTTTTTTTTTTCTCTGCCCTTATGTGTTCTGTTACACAACCACAAGGTGGCAATGAGACCTAGCCAGAATTGCAAAAACAACCATTTCATAGTGTAACATTGTCTGATAGTCACTAGTTCATTTACCTTGTAATAATTTTTTTTAAAAAATAATGAAAATTCTTGGAAAGCACAGGAGAGGCCCTGGAACATGAGAATATCTTGAAAAGCACCCTCAAAACATTGTAGAATCATGCAAGTACAGTAAATACCCCATCTAGAGAAGCCCCCGGTTAGAATGCAATCTGGTGGACAAATGCATATTTCAAAATGGGAATACTTGATTTAAATTTAAACTCTCTGTTCCTCTAATCCGTGAGATACTGCTGCTTCAAGCACAACAGAAATGTACTAAAATATGTGTAATTTTCTACATGCAATTTCAACACATGTAATTTACATTTCAGTACAGCAGTCCTTTTGTATAACTGGTCCCCTGGTGTGAAATGAGGCAACAGTAGAGTGTTTCTCATTTCCAAAAAAGCAGAATTCAGCTGTAGGGTTGGCAATGGTACATTCTAGTTTGCCTAAAAAGGCTCATTGTTCTTGTGTATCTTCATATCATTCACAATCTGGCTAAAGAAAACAGCTGTATTCATTCTGTTTTAAGCAATTTCCCTCAGCTGATAAGCTACACCTACCTTCTAGGGGATAACAAAATGAACTCCCTATCATAGAATCAAGGCCACAATTCCCAAGCCACTTTACTTAAACCATTTGATGATCACCGCCAAATACTCTTGAAGACTGCCTTTTCACCTGCAGACATCACCTTTAACATAGGCTGAAGCTGAAAGTTGAATGTATTGAGGCCTCTAAGATACTGCTAAGGCTTGGGAATAGAATAATGCCCATCTGTACCATGCTGCCTTATCCTGAAGAGGGTTCAGTTTAAAATAAGTAAGTGCATCATTATGTTACTCCAATGACTTCCCAACATTAGGCCTTCAAGTTGTTGGACTACAGTTCCATCCCTGACAAATGCTTATGCTGAGTGGAGCTGATCATAGTTGCAGTCTAGGAACCCACAGTTGAGGAAAGCTGTTACACAAGTGCTACCTAAGGTGATCTTACAACAAGGTTTGAAACTTAACAGGTTTGTCAGTAAGATTTTTTTAAAATATACAAAATTAAATCCTAAAGCTTTTGACTTGTAATTTGCACAGCCTGATCATCTTCATGTGAAATTAGAAATGTCACTATGCTCAGCAGATGATCAATACAATTAGGCAAGCTGTGACTGAATGGTCAGTGTGTCTCTTTCAAACAGGCTATTTTGTTGTCCTTTCAGAATTGCCAAATTAGCTTTGATAACTATTGGTCCACCTATGAATTTCAAAATGCAAAGCACATGCCTTTAATAACATATAGCCTGAAGGAGAGTTCTGAGGATCTTGAAAGTTTGCACATTTTTTGGTAATCCTTTAGCAGGCCTAATAAAGGCATAACAATACAGATATGTGGAACTTTTTGCCTAATGCATTTACACATTATACTTGCTTATACTGAATGACAGTTTGAATTTTAATGTTTGCTTCCCATTTGAAGAAATGCATTTGAAACTCCTCATTGTAACTTTTTGTTTCAACCAGCATAGATAAGTTGGTGATATCAGCAAACCTAACCACCTCCTTGTTCACACACATCTCTAGACCATTTATTATTGATTTTATTATTAATATTTTTATTATTTCTGTGCTGCCCAATACCCACAGCTCTCTGGACAATTTACAACAATGAATGAAATACAGTATAAAATACAAGCAACAATAAAAACATAAAACTTACCTTACAGCATTTAAAAGCCAAATTTAAAACAAATATAAAACGCTACTACAGCTTCTACAAATTAAATCATAAGATCTGTTTAAACAGCTAACATGACCAGCCAATATAATATTAAACTAATTAAATGACCTCGAAGGCATTTAAGACTATACTCTAGGACAACCTGAACTTGGCACTAGAAAAGTCAGTGGGTGAGCCTCGATGGTGAGCTTCTTCCGTAATGGGGTGGGGAGGAAGCACCACTGAAAAGGCCCTTCTGCTTGTCTGCCACCAAACAGGCCTCTCTCTAAGGCATGAGTCTTCAAACTACAGCCCGGGGGCCGGATCCAGCTCACTACGCCCATTTATCTGGCCTGCCATGCCCATTTGGACCTGTAGTGCGTGCGCCTACCTCGCCCCACACTTGGAGGCAGCGATTTGCTCGCTTGGGGAAAACGATCTCCAAGCAAGCAAGCCGCTGCCAGCCCATGTGCACTGCCAGCACCACCTTTCCAGCCCGTGCCCAGCACTGGCAGCTTTCAACTGGCCCCCTGGTGGAAAAGTTTGAGGACCCCTGCTCTAAAGCATCAGTCGAAGGTGGGCCCCAAATCTTGATTGCAGTGTTCACGTTGTTTGCAGTT